TGGCTGCAGTTTANAANAAACCTGGTCANGATTTGATNGATCACTATACGTATGTTTTTATGGGAGATGGCTGTGTGATGGAAGGTATCTCNAANGAAGCATGTTCATTGGCTGGACATCTAAAACTTGGAAAATTAATTGCTATTTANGACGANAANAATATTTCTATNGATGGAAAGACAGATGTTGCTTTTTCGGAAGATGTTGGNAAAAGATANGAAGCACTTGGATGGCACGTAGTCACGGTNGAAAATGGGAATTTNGACTTGCAAGCTATTTCGGATGCAATTCAGAAAGCAAAACAAGTTCANGACAAGCCTTCTCTTATTCGTTTGAAGACCATTATTGGATATGGCTCACCAAACAAGGCNAATACAGGNGAGGTACATGGAGCAGCTCTTGGAGCGGAGGAAGTAAAGTTAACAAGAGACAGCTTATCGTGGCCATTNAAGGAATTNGAAGTTCCNGAGGAAGCTCTTCGTCATTATCGNAAACACAGTAAGTTGTTTATTATTTCGCCTTTTTTTTTATAACTGTAAAAATGACTAGTNGAATCCGGACAAAAAATNGAGCGAGAGTGGCAAGCNAAATGGGAGGCATANAAGAAAGCTTTTCCCGAATTGGCTTCACAATTNGAGAGGACAGTACTTCANAAGAAACTTCCAGANAATTGGGAAAGTGTCTTAATTTCTGCAGCNGAAAGAGGAGGNGATATGGCTACTCGTCAAGCATCACAAGCAATGTTGAACGCGTTAGCTCCAATTATGCCAGAACTTGTGGGTGGTTCTGCAGATTTAGCTCCATCTTGTTTAACTATGATGAAAAATGTGCCTTCTTTTCAGCACAACTGNAGAGAAGGGCGTTATTTCCATTTTGGAGTTCGCGAACATGCAATGGGTGCAATATCCAATGGCTTATATCATCACAACACTGGTTTCCGTCCCTTTGCAGCAACCTTCTTTATTTTTACAGACTATATGCGTGCATCTATTCGGTTATCCGCTTTGTCNAGAGCCGGAGTTATTTACATTATGACGCANGATTCTGTTGCATTAGGNGAAGATGGACCAACTCATCAGCCTATNGAGCACTTGGCATCCTTNAGAGCTATGCCAAATGTTCATATGCTGAGACCAGCAGATGTTACAGAAACTGCAGCAGCTTATATTGCTGCTCTAAAGTCAACATCGACTCCATCTATACTGGCGTTATCAAGGCAGAAGCTACCCAAACTAAAGAATTCATCTATAGAAGGATGTCTAAAGGGTGCATATATATTATCNGANAACACTCGATCAGGTGGATATCCGGATTTTATATTAACTGCGAGTGGTTCGGAAGTACATCTTGTAGAGAATGCAGCAGAAAAATTGCGTCAAGAAGGCAAGTCTATTCGAGTTGTTTCTTTTCCTTGTTGGGAGCTCTTCGAACAGCAGAGNAGAGAGTACCAAGAGTCTGTCTTTCCTTCCAACGTTGGAAAAGATCGTCGTCTTGTTTGNGAGGCTGGTTCAAGTTTCGGTTGGGAAAGGTTGGCTGGAATATAAAGTGGATATACATATATATATTGAATCTAATGGTTGTTTATTTAGGTATGTGGGTCATATGGTNAGCATCGACCAGTTTGGATTATCAGGCAAAGGGAACGATATCTTGAAACACTTTGGTATTACGGTNGAAAATGTCGTGAAGCAGGTAAAGGCGGTTTTATAATTAATTCGTCAAAACTCCTTAGCACCGTGCTTTTATAACTTCCTATCATGCATTCTTCGCTATAATAAAGTCAGGTGGTTTGTTTCGCTGATCGTTTTCGTGCCAGTGCACTTTCTTTGTCGGTACATTGTCTGTAGAGACATCTTGTGGTTACCTTTGAACGCCTATTGAGTTGTTTTAAGACGGTTAACAACCACATGCTGATGTTTTGAATAAAAAGAATTTAGACGTTTGAAGGATATTGCATTGTTTTTTAGAAACTTAAGTTGGGATGACAACCACCCACCCAAAGAGCCTCACTTCGATTGGACTTTGAAACATATCAAGAATTTTATCATATACCGGCAAAGTAGTTATTCAGCTGCAATTCCACATTTATTATTGTTCATTCAAACATGCCGAGCACTTTCACAATTATCTTCTAAAGAAAGAGACTTCATTTTTCTTTCTTTTAACATGTCCTCACGAAAAATCTACAATACATGAAACTCTAACTGATTCTACAAGTTGAGATCATTAGCTTTAGAAATGTGATAAATATTTATTAGAAACAATCGAATATTTGACTTCATTCTCATAAGCAATCTCAAATAGGGACTACAATTAAATAAACTTGAAGTTTGCAACGCATTTTAGAATATACAATTTCGATCAAAGCTGGTATTTTAGAATCGCGTGTATAGTAATGAATAATTCCAGTTTAAAAGCAAAATCTTGTCAACAACCACCAAAAATTAGGATCGAAGAACCATCAAAACGAACTTCGCAAAATTAATAGCAGCAGCGTTCTGAGGATCGCGGGATGGAAGATGTTAGTCCTGAGGGATTTGTTCCGTTAAGTCAGAGAAAAGTAGGCTATTTTGTTGCTCTTCGCCACGAAATCTGACACACTGGTTCAAGATTCTTCTAGGAAAAGACTGTGATATCGAATCCAAACAAGTAAGTGAAACTGCACAAACGAGGACAGCTGCATTAAACAGTAAAGTAAGTCGTGCGCTGAAGAGTTCATATATTGCTTATTTCAAACAAGTGTTGGTCTACCGCTTTTAGTCCGTTGCAGCAGCTTCTGTACATTTTTTTTGTTTCGTGGCTAGTTGGTATGTTTCCACTAAGTTGGTCGGATCGAACTGGTGTAACTTTCATAAGGGAGCAACCCAAGTTTGTTTGGTATAGTTATGCTCGCAACCGCAATATATATGCAGCTACAGTCTTTGATTAATGTTCAAAAGTCTTTTTTGCCGTTTCAAGAATATTCGAATACCTTGCCTTTGAACACTTGCAAAGTATCCTGTCTACTTGTAATTTTGCCCTTTTTGGCTGAAAGTAGTTTAGTTTGTATTCGTTCTTTGCAATATGATTGGAAATTTTGTGCTGTATCACAGAGTCAAGGCTTTTGGTTTGTTTGATTTTTTCGAAGGCCAATCAGTTAAGTATTTTGTACTGTTCGGATTCCGTTCAATCCGTACTAAAAGTGTTCCAGTCCTATGCTATTCACGGTACTAACTTTGCAAGCCGGGAAGAAATTATACGTGTTATTTGGTGGTAGTTTAGTCCTCATTGGTCACCGAGAATATTCTACCTGAATTACCGTGATGAGATACAAGTAGCAGTTTAGTAATGTTGTTAGTAGTCTTACCAAGTATTCCTGAAAGTAAAGAGTTTAATTTCAAACGTTTTTTACAACCATTTCATTGTATTGTAAGCACTTTACCAACATTTTGGAAAGTTCTCAATGTTGATAGTTGAAAGACTAACAGTTTCAGTAATATATATATATATATATGTATTGCGAAGTCACAGACGATGCAGACTTGAAGTCGAAAAACCCACATAAATGGTTAAAATGTCGCAATCCATTTTATATGCTAAGGAGATTTCCGCAAAATTATTCTTTTGTTATTAACAAATTGCGTCAGAGGCAAAGCTAAAGCTTAAGAAATTTTTAGCGGAGAATAGTGTAACAGTAAATATTCATGGCACCTATTTCTAGTAACCACGGATTTCTTGCCAGATTGTATGACGAAATCAATAAATACTGGGCTGTAGTCCATTATAGACATATTTTGACGTATAACAAAGGTATTCTACCGTGCTGTCCAATGGACTGTTGAGAATTTTGTCGCTTCGAATGATTGATTCAACCAATGGCTTCGCTTTTTGCTTCCACAGAAGGAAATGGCGAATCGATTGGACTGCGTTTAAGCCAATTTTCTGTGTACTCAGGAAGATGTTCCATGAAAAGCATACCCCTAAGCTCCCATAGTTTAAAAACAAACAGAGATATAGAATCAAAGGCTTCACTAAACAAGGTATCAACGGAAGGTTCTTTGACGAAGCAGCCATTAAGGCTTATCATAGCAGATTCTTGACGAGTAAGAGAACCTTATAATGATAGCTGAGGAATGGATACTCGTTCAGCCTTAAGAGGAATCTGGAATCAGGCCAACTTTTGTAAAATAATCAAAAATGAAGTTTTCTTTTCTTCAAATGAAAGGGGTATACTGCAGCAACGTTCGCGTGAACACACTAGAGCACCTGGACAGTGTACAGAGAAAAATGTTTGTAATATGCACACAGGGGGAGCAGACATTGAAATTCAGGAGGCTATGTCGTCCGATATTTCCATGAGAGAAGGTATTGTGCCTCAGCTTCGTCGTTCCCTTTCGCTTCCAACTTTCGATATGAACACAAGTTCTTTAAAATCTGTACATTGCTTTCAGAAAGAAAGCTTCCTTTATCAACGTTGTGTGAGAAGGAAAGAAGGTTCTGAAAGCTTTCATATTGAGTTTTTAAATGTTTATCTCAAGGATGAAGCAGTAGTGATAAATCCTGCTTGTTTGGCAAGAAAGGAAACCAAGTTGACGCGTGGCAACTCTTTGAGGCCTTCAACAGAGGATAAATTGAACTTTCTATCCTGTGGGTTATATTCATGCGGAGATAATGTAATGAGTGATAAAATGATGACCAGTGTTCTCACCTGTTCGCAACAATCACAGAAGAGAGTGACGCTCTATTTGCTGGATTGGGATGATACTTTCTTTCCTTCTACAGCCTTGGCATCTTTTGAGTCATTTTCATGTTTGCCAAAAGAGCTAAAAATCTGTTTGAGAAAATTAGAGTGTACGATAATGATGCTTTTGGAAGCATTGAATAGTACTGGCTTTGTTGCTATTGTTACTAATGCGAACGCCGATTGGGTTGAATTTAGTTGTCGCCATTTCATGCCGAAGTAAGTATTATTCAGTTTTCAGAGTGTTGCTGAAAGTATATATTGTGAATCATTAGACTATTGCTACGCCTAGAAGACCTTGGAATACTTATTTTAAGTGCTAGAACCTTATTCGGCAGCGACTCAATGTCTCCAATTTCCAGTTGTCCTTCAGATTGGAAAGCTGCGGCTTTTTTAAAACTGATGATATATTTCTTTTCTTCAACTGCTACCGAAAATAGTGAAATTTTGAAGCTTAACAAGCACAGCATTTCAGGTAATTGTAGAATGACAGGCTTGAATCAACAGGCAGAAAGTAGAAGAAGCAAACCACCTATTTATAGTCTTTTAAGAACATCCCGTTTATCTACTCATGCAGTTTGGTTTAAGGCTATGCATGCTTTAGACTGTATCCATCAAACGGAAAAGAAAAGAAACGAAAACGAACTTGAACAATCGATGTTGAATCACTCGAATTGGAAGTTTGAGAAAGCTGTTTTGCTAGACAGCAACTCATTCGTTTGCCATCATATCATAGCGATGGGTGATTCTTGTTTCGAACAAAATGCTATGAATACTCTACGAGAACAATATCGGCAAGCGCATTTCAAATTTATTCATTTTGTTTCCGAGCCATCTATTATGGCGTTGTTCCTCGAGTTAAAGTCTGTCTATTTCTCGTTGCACGAAATTAGTAGTTTTGCAGGTAACTTAGAAATAAGATTGAATGTGGCGCAATAGGATTGTGGGTACTTTTCGGTTTCTTCCTTACTAATTTGTGTAAAATATCGAATAATTTTAAGGGTCTAGTTGATAGTTGTGCTCATAGTTTGTGAATTTTGCTATAAGTTTTTTAAATTGAATATACTTTGTCTGAGGCAATTTATTGCGGCTAGTCCAATAGAATTTCGCGTTTGTTATTTCGATATAAATCCAAATATTGAGTTTTGAGACAAGTACATTCTCTTAAGAGATTTTGCCCTTCCAAATCTCAAATGAAATTATTTCAATTTGACACGTTGCCTTGTAACAGCTTTGTTGGGACTTTTTGGACATAATGGCTCCAGTTACACCCTTGTTTGGCGCGTCGCCAAAGACTACCAATAGAGAAGTTGAACACTGGATGAACAACTTGAATGAGGTACAAAGCGTTATCAATTCGGTGGAGCCAAAGCTTACCGCTACGGGGGGAAAGTGGAAAGGTAAGAGGAACAAACGAAACGTTGTTCTTTTAGTTGACGTCTTTAGCCGTGGCACAACACGTAAAGGAGGTTTCTGACGAACTGAGTCAAATTTTCAACAAGGAGGACCCTCACTTTGACGTCATTATTGCTGGAGTAAACTCTGGTAGGAAGTTTGAAAATGCCCAAGCGGAAGTTTCGAAGGTATTCGCCACGGTTTCTGTTGAAAATACAAATCTAAACAACATATGTAGAGCGACATGGTCAGAGAAAGGGCGTTGATGAGGCTAAAGAAATATCGTGATGAAATAGAAGTCCTTAGACGAGAGTACAAAGAAAGAGAGAAAGTTAGAGAGCGCTATGATCACTATCGAGTTAAGTTAGATAACTTGGAGAAAAAGGGTAAAGATCAACCAAGAATCGAACGCAACCAGCAGAAGCTGAAAGACGCAGAGGATGCTTATCACGCAGTTACTGCAGAGTTGATACAGAAAATGGAAACCAGCTGGAAAAAACACGTAGAAATTTTTGCCGAAGCATCTATTGCATTATGGCACACACAAATGCTTATGATTGATGAGTTTTCCAAATCTTCCGAGGAGATACGTTCATATGTTCAAGATTATCTCAGCAATCTGAAGACAAACAGCGGGAATTATACTGGTGATAGGACGTCTTCAACTGTTGAGGAGGGTGCCGACCTGTCGAAGAGTGGAGGCAGTGAAGAAGGGAAGTTTACACGTCCATTTCATGATTCGAAGCATACAACAGAAAACTCAGATAGTTCGTCTCCAACTTTAGAAGTGAACGGAAAGCAAGGCTCCTCATCAGACGTCTATCGATCGATGAGAAGTACACAAGCCTGAGCTACTTGTGTTTGTTGTTCGTGTGATTGTTTGAATGTTATGAATGGCACTTTGTGTCATTTGAAATTGGTTTGCATAAACTTTCTTGTTATCATCATCCAATAAGATTTCTATTGCAGTGGGCTTTTGCTTTGGTCAAAATCATCTATTTTGGCATACATTTATCCCCTTTTGTGTCCTTTATAACTTATTCACTACTTTACCATAATAGCATTCCCAACAATTGTTAGAAAAAAACTTGCTTTGGTGGTTTGGTGCAACGCGTATTCAGTTTCGAATCCAAACGAGAACCGTCAACTGTTTCATTATCTTCGACATTCAATTCTATTCTGGTCTCTTCACACCCATAAGCACGGGGTGTTAACTTGATAACTACATGAAGTGGCACTTCTAAATTGGGACATTCGTCTTGACGCTTTCCAATAAGAAAGCCATATATAGCTCTAACCAAAAAATACAAATATTTCAAAAAATCAACAGAAAACGGAATGAGACAAACCTTATCACTGCATTATGGCTCACAATTAGCATAGGCTCTCTCATACGTTCCACTTCTAGCATTACAGGCTCCAACCTTTGAATAACATCTACGTAACTTTCTCCTCCAGGATAACGGAAATGTAATTTATCTTTTAACCGAGCTTCATAAAGCTTGGGAAACTGTTGTTTCACTTCTTCTAAAGTCTTGCCTTCACAAACACCAGCATTTATTTCATTCAAGGCTCGCCAACAAACATTATGAGTAGGAATAAACTGGACAGTATGACGAGACCGTCGAAGTTGCGACGTCCATATTAAAGGAAGTTCCTTTCCTTGAGCAGTGAATTCTTCATGAATATATTGCGCTAATTTTATAGCAAAACGCTTTCCCTTCTCTGTTAGATCAGGATCTCCTCCTAATCTTTCTTCAGCGTTGTATTCTGACTCTCCATGTCGAGTCAAATATATACTTCTTGACAAAGTGTGCATATTCATCAAATAGGAAACAAGTTTGCCTTGTAAATATCCCGTTAACTGATGCAACATAATTGTTCTTCCTACATTGATAATTTTAATATAAGATACCATTTCATCATCATCAATAGTCTCATTCGCTCTTTCATAGTTGGCAATTCTTGCTTGAAAATCTTCCACTGCTCTTTCAGGATCCATGTTTTGATAGTCAGGCATACGTAACTTGGTTTCCATGATGTTATGTTCAATTATGCTCTTATCTTCACAAACGCTTTCCAAAAACAACACTCGAATACTCTCTGTTTCTAAACGCTCCTTTACATATTTTCGTCTTTCCTTGGTGCTGTTGGTGGCATCGTAAATACCGACCTGTCCATGCTGGTGTTTTAACCATAGTATCAAGTCATCCAAGCACTTGATAGCCAATTCCCAACGTGCACGTCTTCCCTCTTGATTACTAGGGTCAAAGAACTCAGCAGGTTGGCTTGCTCCCAAAATTTCTCTCCGATAGTTTCCAACATTAAACACCCTCGTTGCTCTACCTACCCAATTCAAGTACCTAGCAATATACCGAGCAATGTGAGTCTTGCCTCGAGCAGGCAAACCAACCATGACAATAGCCAGCTTCTTCATGGGAAAAGATTTAGACTCTGACTCTTCTTCAGAACTACTATCTTCTTCCGTATTATTGGAAGAAAGTGGCATAGATACGAAAGCTGCTACATCATTATAACTAACCGCACGTTTCATTTCCTTCACAATTTCTAATCTCATCAAAATATTCTCGTTTCTGCTGTTCCATCGTCCCAAACTGAAATGTCTGTGCAAATGGCTTCGGAAAACTTGACAAGTTTTATCTCCGAACAATGCCCAGCGCTTTACTCTTGGACTCCAGAAGCTTGGATGGCAGTATTGTTTCCTTTTTTAGGACTTGTTGTCGCTTGCTTTGCTCGACAATTTTTGGAAAGGCCACTTGGAATACATTTTTCAGTTTTGGTCCTTCTCAGTGGTTGTCTGGTTGGCGTTGCTGGATGTTTCGTGCATATGGCTGAATTGAGTGCAAGTCTGTCGCTTTGGGTTGACGTACAGCCTCCCAATCTGTTATTATATGTCTTGTTACCGCCAATTGTTTTTGACTCGGCCATCAACATCGACTGGTTCATTTTCAGAAAACAGATTTTCAATGTATTCCTTCTTGCTTTTATTCTTGTATTAGCCTTTACCTTTTGTACTGCTGCTATAGTGATTTACATACTCCGGGTAGAATGGCCGTTCACAGCAGGTGCCATGTTCGGTGCTATTTTATCTGCAACAGACCCCATTGCCATCATTGCTCTTCTAAAGAGTTCAGGTGCTTCACCTTCTGTTATTACTCTCTTAGATGGAGAGTCATTGTTCAATGATGGTTCTGCTTATACTCTTTTCTATGCGTTTTTGATATCCTTGAGGAAAGGTTATCACGAGAATCCCGGGAAGATTGTCCTTCTTATTTTGAAAGAGTCCTTAGGTGCCATTGGTTTGGGTCTCTTGTTTGGATATTCTACTGTATTTTTCTTGCATCATGTTTGGAGTGCAAAAGTGGAAATAGGATTGTAAGTAGAGTGAGATATATGAAAGTTATTATTTTTATATTTTGTATCTAGTTCTGTTGCTATATCGTATTTGGCTTTTTATGTCGCTCAAGGTCCTGCTGGAGTTTCCGGTCTTATTTGTTTGGTAGTCACCGGACTCATTATCGCAGCAGATCGATTGTCAGGCTTTAGTCCATTAGCTCGAGACGCCTTGACTCATTTTTGGAATATTATTTCTTTCATTGCCAATGCAGTCGTTTTCTTCTATGCTGGTTTTATTGCAACAATATCCATCATATTGTTTTGGAACGATGGTTTAAGTCTGAAGGATCTATTCTACATTCCTATACTATATTTGTTGTTATCTCTTCTAAGATACTGTCTGTTATTTCTTTGTAGTCCTATTCTTAGACACACGGTTTCCAATTTTTCATGGGGAGAGATATTCCTTGTTGGTCATAGTGCGTTAAGAGGTCCAATCTCTCTAATTCTTTCACAAATAGTCTTTCATGAGGGCGGTGTGCTAAAGGATAATCGAAATGATTATATAGTGGCCAGAGTTGTGATATGGACTTCAGGTTTTGCAATACTCACCTTACTGATCAATGGAACGACTATTCATTGGTTGACGAAACTCTTTTATGTTTCGAATGCTGCCAAAAAGACGATATTTGAGAGAGCAGAGCAACGATTGGAACGGATGATGAAGGACTCGCTCGAGCAATTGAAACAGTCGAGATGGTATGCTGGGACTGATTGGGTATTTGTGGAGACATTACTTGACAGTAGTATCTCACCACAAAGTAAAAAATTCCGAAAAGTACTTAAACAACTTGCAAGTCACAGTAGTGATGATTCCATTTCATGGGACAATTACTCATTGAAAAGCAACAAGCCAAAGCCGTTAAGAAGTAGTTTACCAGGAACAGATCGTACTCGTTCCTTTGCTCTTGATGAAAATTCAGTTCCTAATGAAGAAATGGATGAACCACCACCGGAGCAGACATTGCTTGTAACTGATGGTCTTCATAGTCAGTTGCATACCGTTCAAGTCGAGACTGATTTGTCCAGTGAACAAGTGAACAGAGAAGTCATGATGGAGTACAGAAAGAGAGCCTTACAAGGAATGCGACATTATTTGCAAAAACAATACATAAGAGGTATTGTATTTCCCGAGGTTTATCGAGAGTTAGAATCAGGATTGGATGAAGCTTTGTGTTACCCATATCGACGAATGGATATATTTGATAAAGCAGAAGAAACAGAGTGGGGTAGTTCTTTGATAGATCGCTTCATCGTCAAGCGTGTGGCTTCTTGGCTTTGGTTTCGTTGGTTGGCTAGCAGAATACTCTATGGGTATGTATCCTTTTGTTTCCTTATGGGAATGGTACTTTACTTCGTATTATTTTTCATATAGGCGACATCGGCTAGGTACCAACTTTGCAGCTTCCCTTTGGTCCTCAATAACTTATGTTCGAAGTACTTTAAGTCTTCCAGAACTTATTGTTAGAGAGTTGAGAGCAGAGCGACTGAAATGTTTGCTATATTTAAGAGGAATAGAGTTGTCCTATCCACAAGTGCTTGGAGTTGTACAAACTCGGAACGCTGCTGCAATCCTTTTAACTATACGCGATCATACCATTCATGAACTATTTAGTAGTGGAGAAATAGATGGTCAAGAATACAAGTTATTGCAGAGAGACAACAATGATCGTCGCAAGTTGGTTCACGAAGCACCACTTTTCTTTCAGTTACCAAAGACTATTCAGGTAAGCAGGTTTGTGTTGCTTTTTTTTCAAATTGAGATTGTTCGCTCGTAGATTTTAAATTCAAATCCCATATTCAGTTATCTTATGGAACAAAATAAGTTCAAATCTCTTGTTTTAGACCGAGGCTATCGTCGAGTATGTGACAAAGGTGAACTTTTGCTGAAATACAGAGAGCTTTCAGATGGTTTATATGTTCTTATTCGAGGAAGAGTCCATTTAGAATCCTCTGAGCATGCTTCGAGTCTTCCAATACATAGACTGAGCTTATTGGAAACAGAATCCTTAAACAGTATGTTTTGTCCACCCGGTTCTGTCTTTGGACTGGAGAGTTGTGTGTTTCGGTTGCCTATGAAGAACTCAGTGATTGTAGACTCCGAAGTTGCGCATGTATTTTTCTTACCCTGGTCTTCGCTTCATAGTATTTTCAAGTTTCAACCTCTAGCAGCGTTACATGTTTATCGAATGGCTGTAGTTGAGTGGTTGAAACAAACCGTGCCGGATGCTGATACTATCGTATCGTTTTTGGATGAAGGAAGAAATTCCACTTCAACAAGTTCGTTTTCCGCTTCACTGCTGGCGAGAAGCAAAGATTTGCAATTCGCCAGCATGAGTGAGGCGAATCAACCGAATTCCGATACTTGCTCGAATCCGTTGGACTCTTGTGATGCTAGTAGTGGCACTGCGGAGAGTCCAATGAACTCTTCTAGTCAAGTTTATGGTACAAGTATAGAAGATAGAGTGGGTCCATCATCTGATGTACCCAACAACTTTGATCTATGCTCTGGAAATACTCTTATCCGAGAAAATGTATGCTGCTATTCAACCCATCATACAATTGAAGATATTGCTAGACTTATTCTTTCGAAAATCACCAACAGTCAACTATGTTATTGGAACATAGGAGAATATGATATTTCGGGAGATGGTGGTCTCGTTGGAGTTCTTGTTGAAGGAAGTTTACAAGTTTCTTCACGTCCAATAACGAAAGAAAATTATGATTTCAACCGTTTTACAGCTCCTTGTATGTTTTTACTTGAAGCTAGTCATAGGATTGTTATCGTTGAAAGAGCTACCTTTCTCCAGATTGTATAGATAGACGCATTTTTGGATTTGACTCTTTATTTTATTTATTTCTTGCAGTTATACCCACGTTACTTATATATGAGGCAGTAAGCTCCTTGGTTTCTCTACGTCGTTATTCTTTCTGTCAAGAATTTGAGTTCTCCATACACAAGGTCTTGCTTGAGCTGAACTGAATAAAGTCGATAACTGTAGCAGATTAAGATACCACTGCGTAAGTACTTGTATATCAGTGAAGCAGACTCAATCTCAAACGTGAGAGATATCTTTGTAGCAACGTCCAACGAAGCTTCTCATCAGCAATCTCTTTCAGTCCATGGTATGATGATTTTTTGCAGCTCAGTTGTTACGGCTTCACTAATATTATATCAAACTAATGTAGGGCTGACCAGCCTAGAAACTTTGAGGGTGGTTTCCAACATAATCCCGAAAGCATGTCATTCTCATTCGCCTGTTTGAAATGCTTCAATAGCGTTTTAATAGCGTGCAGAATCCTGAACTGATGGCTGCTTTCTCAACTGTTCTTTGACTTTGGACGCCGTACGTTGCATACTGTCATCGAATACTTTCATTTTTGGATACCACTTGGGAGGCTTCGTATCCACATTCTTATAGTGTACCAACCGAACTTCCTTTTCAGGATCGGTATATATACACTTTCTGCCAACGGAAGGAACGTGAACCCACATATAGTATACTTTAGTAGGCCGTGTTATGGTCTTCGGACGAGTAGTCGTAGCATTCTCCTGTCTATAAGTTGCTTGTTCGATAACCAAGGATTCAGGATTATACTTTTGAGAAGAAGCCATTCCAAAAAATACATTATGCACACATAAACCACCGATATCTTCTTTTGATTCCATGGATGTTAAATAATTTACAAAGTTCTTTAAAGAAATATTTCCCATTGGCTGCAAGAATTCATCAACGTCCATAAACACGAGCCAATCATGTAAGTGTCGAAATCGCCACAAGCAATCATTGATCTGTACACTTTGCATTCTTGAAAAAGGAAGTCGATTTGGAGACAGAAAAGGCCATTTGATGGGTAGTACGACGTCTTGCTCGAAGTAGTTTCGAAAGCGGATGAGAGAGTCATCGTCAACTTCATTCAAATAGACATAAATTCGTTCGATTCCCAGAAGCCTGTGATAAGCAATCCATTCATCGATGAATTGATTTTTGTCCTGTAAGAGTAAACAAGCGCCAACTTTCCTTTTAGAAAGTTGGTTTCCCGGAACGAAGTAATTCGCTTGAACTGACGAACAGGCATAAAGGAATGGACTAACATTATTTCCGGTTTCATCAGCTAGAAAACAAATGGTCTATATAGACTTCATTTTACAAAGGACATTTGACTTACTGAAACGTAATTTGACTGAAAATTTTCTTTCAAAGCTTTTTCTCGCCAACTTGGGGACAGGGCATAGCAGAATCAATGCCAAATTGTAACGCTCCCTGACAGGCTCCTTAATTTTTGTCACTTCTTTAGTATCAAACTCACAAAACAGAGGCCCTAAACCAACAACTTCGGAAAAATTTGTTGCTAGAAACTCTTTTAAAATGAAGGAAACGGAAATGTATTCTTATGCATTACCTGCCATAGTAAAGAATAGTCCTACTGAAATGTTTTTCTCAAAGTCCTCTACAACCACAGCGTCGAAAAGAGGTGGAAACGAGCCAACCTTCAAACCATGTATTGGAAATCGGTCTGGTGAGCACATTTCAGAAATATTACTCCCACGAGTAAGAGGTCCTAATAAGCCATCTCTATTTTCAGGATAGGACACTCTAACTTGCATTATATTTATGGTCAAAAAAAGCCCTAGTGTAACAAAACTGAGTTTCCACAACAGCATATGTGACTTGGTTTTTTTGGAAACTGTCATTCCTGTAAAATTTCCCGCCAAAGGTTCCTTTAATCATTTGAGTTGGGACGTTCGCCGGCTCATGTCATTCTGTTCAACAAAGGATATCGGACTCACGTTGACTTTTAAGCCGATTGCTTTTCAATATACATATACTTATTATCGTTATAACTTATGATGTGTTATTATGAGTTGATAAATAAAGTGGGTTTACATATTTATTAAATAATAGAAGTCAATGAGTCGAAAAACGAATTTTCATATCAGAAAAGTGGAATATGTACCAGAGTAGGAGACAGTCAAAGACATATAAAATTATTCTGTGAGATAGCCAAGTTATGGTAGGTCAAGATGACAACGTTAAAATTGGTTATCATAGAAAGATTCAGAAAATTTCACCCTTTAGGGTCTACTTCAAAGGGTTTGGGAGTTTTTACTATATTTATTCAAATTTTCTACACACCAAGGATTTTCGAGCCACAGAAATAATGAAAAGAAAGCGAAACAATTGTCACTTTAAAACTTTGAGTAGAGAAAAATCTTTGTTTCTATTAGAAGCCAGCCCTTGAAACATTTGGGTTGAGAAAAATTCTCGAGGCCCAGCGATTGCCATTTGAATTTTCAAAACTCGAGACCGTTTCCTGGGCTCTTCAATATATTCTATGCAAGGCGAAGAAGAGTTTTCTTCTTATTTTACTACCTCGAGTCCACTACAAATGATCTTAGGAAAAATAGATAAGTCTAAAATTTCTATGATGCGAATACCTTTGCGAATTCTTGCCTTCTCTCCTTTCAGAGTTTCCTTGTTAAGATACGTGAAGGAGCAGTTTTCATCAAAGCATTGGACAAGAAACCGTTCGAAGCTGTTTGTATTTGGTGGAGTTATTATAGTAGCCTTCATAGTAGCGCAAAGAAGAAAAATTCACAGAGCTCTAACTGTCTCTTCTAACTTGACTCTTGTTCGGAGTGCAGCACAGCTAACCAGCGATTCAACAAAGATATTGAGAGACGAGGTTTCTCAAAAGTCTATTTCTATCTATAGATATGTCATTTCTTTAGTGTGCAACTTACTTAACAAATTTCATGGCGCTATCAAAATTTCCGATGACCAACAAAGGCAAAGTGATATAAGCTCCATAAAAAGTTTAGTAAGAACGAGAACAGAGAAGTTGCTGCAATTTTTTCGAATCATTCAAGGCAAACCGCCTGCCGGACTGAATCTTGAGGAAACAGTTTATAACCAAGTAGAAGCAATATGTGACTTGCTAGAGGTCCTATTGATGCAAAGAGACGAGCCGTATAATCAGTTCAATCATGCGCATAACTTGAAAGCTTCTCCTGTTGGTCATTCTAGGATAGGACAGCAAGACAAAGTCTTGGAACCTCTTGAATCCAACGACTACAACATCCACGTAGATAAAGAAAACAGTCCTTGCAATGCCTATGAAAAATTGAACAATGCAATATCTTTAACAGAACGACTGACAAGAGACCTGGCAACTTTTCGAAAATCGAAAGAACAGAGTTGAAGTAATTTCAAGTAAGTTTGTGTTTTCCATTGATAAAATGCATGTTAAGATATTTCAACTTTACGATTCGATTGTTTTCCTCTGAGATTCCATCATTGATTTACTTTCTCACAAAGAGTAAAACAAAACACGCAAATGCAAACAATTACACAGCACATTAACGACCATACAAACCAACAACTTGAGTCTGTCCTAAAGTATGGCCCGTCATCATAGCTTCTATCTTTCTTTTATCTAACTGCTCATTAGCATCTAGACTCTTATCCAATGCATATAACTTGAAGAAATATCTAGAAACGCTAAGAAACACGTACAATTCTTTTCTAGCAAGAAAACTTACCTATGAACTCCGACTGGAGGAGCTGGACCTCCGTATGAAGTTCTTTTGAAGTCATTCAAGGCTTCTTTTGCTCCTTGTGGCCAAGAAGCAGAGCCAGGTTTTGAACCTTCTTCGAGCTTTTTACAATTTGGAGAAATATTATATACTATCCAGTGTACATAAGTGAATTTAGGAGCCTTTGGATCTGGTGCATCTGGATCGTCATTGATCAAGACAAGACTTTTGGTTCCAGCCTGTGATATACAATAAGAAAATGAAAGCTTCTCATACTTTTACGTACTGGAATTCCAGACCACTCCAATGGCGGGGAGATGTTTTCACCATCTGCAGTATATTTCTTTGGCATCTTCTGGTTACTTCCAAAGGCTGGAGACCAGATAGTGAACGAAGAAGTCATATTGAAATAATTTCTACGACAAAACCTATGTAGTGTCTTTTGGTTCTTACACAGGCCAAGGCTTCGCTTGTAACGGTTGCAACAAAAGGGCTTCAAAGTTTGTTTGGAGAAAAGACAGACTTTGGAGAAACTTATAAACAACTCACAATTTCTCCGAGATGAAATTGCTTCTAAAACCATAAGAAAAAGAATGGCATTTACTAAAAGTGCCAAAATGGAGGAAACTTTAACTTTTTACAAAACCTTTGATTAGTTGCAAGTATTCCTCTACTTCGAAGGTCTAAATTAGAACCAGTTGGGTGAAGTACTGTTCCACCAGCCTCTTCTACAATAAGTGAACCTGCAGCAATATCCCAAATATGGGGACCATATTCCTACAACGACAAAGTTGGACAAAGCCAATAAAAGGGCAAACCTACATACGTAGTACACATCAAATCTACCTGCTGCCACATAACAGAGATCGAGGGCTGCTGAACCTGTTGCCCTAATACCCTGAATTTTGTCGTCCAAAATATTCTTCAAATTTTCTACAATCATACTGCACTTCACAGAGCTCCTATCACTTCCAAATTCTGTGCAAACAATGGCTTCCTAGATTCTTTCATCAATTTCTTCTTGTGAACAACTCTGAAACGATACAAACATTCCAGTTATCTATATCTGAGACTCTAATAGGAGTATCCTCAAGAAACGCTCCTCCACCACGTATAGCTGTAAACAGTTCCTCTTCGAGAGGATTATAGACAATACCCAAGACAACCTGTCCTCTCTCGGAGTATGCTAGTGAAATGGCAACGTTTGGGATTCCGTGCACAAAGTTTGCTGTTCCATCAATAGGATCCAATATCCTATTATTTACTATCACCATAAAATATTACTTGTTTCAAATATTATGTTCTTACCAACAAGAATCTTGATCGAACCTTTCCAAGTTACTCGCTGACTCCTCCCCAATGAAGGCCTCATTCGGGAACTTGGAAAGAATTTCTTTTCTTAAAAATGTTTCTAGTTCGATATCAGTATTGGTTACCGGGTCTGTCTCAGTTTTTTTTCTATATATGACACCTTCCTTTCGTAACGAAAAGGCGCCCCGGAGAATGGTCCCTGCCTATTTGAAATGTTACAGTTGACCATAAAAACAAGTGTTATGCAATAACCTGTCTTATGAGGGGTAAAGCAAAACATAAACGCTGTTTCAAGTTGTCCATTTTGGTCAAACTACAGACAGCCAAAGACCAAAACGATGCTTCTTTCTTGAAAACTATTTCTAATTTTGAAATCCAATCAATGGAATCTTGACACGTGGTCCATCTTAGCTACTTATTTACGTCTCTCTCTCTCTCTTTATTGAGTTTCATCAAGGTTCCGATAGAAGAAGCAATCATCTGATAAGCACGATGATTCTTCTCCCCCTTCCCTACCTCGAACATTATTCTACTTGTTTTAATAGCTCAAAGACACAGTCCAAACACGAATAGAATTATCTGTATAACCCGCATACAACGTGGAACCATCAGCACTCCACGCTAGACAAGTACATGCAGGCACTTGAGCCTTCTTGGAGACTTCTTCCTCATATAATAGTTCTGCAACAATATTCTTCTTTTCCAAATCCCAGATTTTGATGGCCGTGTTTGTAGCAGCACAGAGCCAATATCTCACAGGTGAGAAGCACAAAGCGTTGATGATATCATTAGCATTAAGAGAATATAAATGCTTTCCTTCCTGTAGTTCCCACAACATGGCAACTCCATCCTTTCCTCCGGAAGCACAGAGAGAACCGTCCGGAGACACGGAAACGGTATTCAAATATCCCGTATGTGAAGCCAAATTACTGCGAATTTTGCAGTTGGATAAATTCCAAACTTTTACCATTTTATCCCAACCGCAAGAAACAATCAAAGGAGTGGCAGTTGAAGGAGAAAAGCGCACACAAGAAACCCAGTCAGAGTGACCATCTTCCGTCAGTGTATACTTACACTCTCCAATTGTATTCCAAAGTTTAATAGTTCTGTCTCTTGAGCCCGAAACTATTTGTCGATTATCTGCTGAGAATGCAACCGACAAAACATCCTTTGTGTGATCCACAAAACGCCTAGTGCTCACTCCTTGTGTCAAGTCCCATAGACGTAAAGTATGATCCCACGAAGATGAAAGAGCAAACTGTCCGTCACTAGAAAGCACAATGTCTGATATAAAGTGGGAATGCCCCGTCAAAGATTTGCGTGGAACACCAAAGGCACCTTCTTCTCTCGTGATCTGCCAAATCATGATTTTCCGATCTCTGGAACATGAAACTATAAAGTCACTATTATCTAAAGGCGTACAAATAGAAGTAACCCAGTTTCCATGACCCTTTAAAGCACCGCGATAAACCAATGTTTCAGCCATGATCCTTCCCAAACCACGCCGACGCAGTCTCTAATCAATCTTTTCTAGAATGGGAAATGATAGGCGATGATTAATAACAAATGTCTGAACTCAGATTATAAAATATGAAATGCACTACTTCTACAAAGAATTTTCAATAGTTTAGGCTCTATTTCATAATTTCGGTTTTATGTTTGGAAATTAGCATTGTTGAAGAAAGCACATCATAGTCGATTCCATTATAATTTGTTGAATTGTCATTGGTAGTGGTTGATATGAATTCGAATATCCGAGTTTCGGTGAAGATGCCAAAGTATATGCAAGATAACTCATTGTCGTTTTCAAAAGGGTTCGAAAACGTTTCTCCTTTTGACAGAAATAACCAAGGAAACCAAGACTCAAGCTCCCGAGAAAACAGTAGTGTTACAGGCTCGCGCCAAGATGGTGAGTCGTAATATTGTAGTATTTGGTAAACTCAAGTTTGTCCTGTTAGAAAATACAGTAGAGGATACTCCTAGATATAAACATAACCATAGACTTGGTATTGCTTGTCCCGCTTGTTCTGCTTCTAAACATGGCAAGCTACCCTCCGACTTTTTTCAAAGAGCTGCTGCAAAAGAAGAAGAGGTTTGAGAGAGAGAGTTCCCTTTGCCTTTTGATATATTCTAAGCTATAATTAGTCGCTTAATAGGCTATTTTGTATTCTGAGAAACATCTTGGACGACCCAGACTCTGAACTTTTTAAGGCGCCTTCACAAGAACGACAGGTGAGTAGTTGAAGTATAGAGAAATTGTCGCTGGACTCTTGATAGGTTCAAAAACGTCCTATTGACCTTACAACACTTCGGGAAAACCTTCATCAAGGCAAATATCGTCTTAGGCACGATATGTTTATTAAGGACCTTAGACAGGTGTGTGTGAGTTGCTCTAGACTGAAACAGCTTGGAAACTTTTCCTGGTTAGTTGTTTAGACAGACTTTAGTATATTACGATGCAGACAGTAGATTGGGACGTGCAGCAAGGAAGTTCCTTCATGTCATTGAGGAGGGACTAGAACCGGAATCGAATCGGACGGATACGGACATCATTCTTCATGCGGGAGACAGAGTTGATGCACTTGGCTCCGACAATCAATGGCACTCAGCAACAGTTGTCCAAGTTCAAGGGTAAGGTCATTGAGTTTGTCAATGCAGTTTTACGTATGTTTTCGACGTAGTTCAAAGTACTATATTCACTTTGATGGTTCCTCAATGGGAGTGGATGAACAAATTGACATTCGTTCAAGTAGAGTGGCACCATTCGATAGCTATGCGAGACAGAAAGTTCCCTATAGAGAGCCTCCAGAAAGAATATTGAATAATCAGAAACTCATGAATGAAAGACAAGAAAGAAACATTGCTTCGCCTAGTTATAGTTCCCCTGAGAACTCGCTTTACTCTTTAAAGAGAAAAAAACCTTTGCAAGTTTCTTCTTCTTTGATTGCTCGTTCAACATCTCGTGGAAGGCCTTCTGCAGTGTTCTTCACTTTGCAGCTAAAACCTCCGGTGTCTCCTAGTGTTTCAGAAATTGGCAAAAGCTTATTTCATAATGATACTAAGGATGACATCTCAATAGAAATACAAAATGATGCTTGTTTTGAAGATGATGAACTGACTGTTGAGAGGCTTATTTCGAGAAGGTTTCGTGGAGAAACCAGGACTATTGAATACTTGGTCAAGTGGAAGGTATTTAAGAATATTCCAGAGAAGTTATCTTTTGGTAACACTCTATGTTAGAATTACGACATCGAAGACAGTTCATGGGAGCCGCGAGAAACTCTCTTAGCAATAGCTCCATCTTTAGTAGCCGATTTCGATATACGTCATCCTGAAATTCCACTAGTCGCTCAGAAGAAGACCGGAAACACAACTAGTAAACAGGAAGTTGTGTTGTCGTCTGCGAAGAACGATGAGGTAGGGTTTTCTACGTTGTACTTTTTGAAAATAATTTTTGTCTTGAAGGAGGAAGAATCTTCGACAGCTTCAGTCAGCCATATAGAAAATGAAGCGACTTCCGGAAAAGTACAAGAACGATCAGAAGAAGCACTCGCGAAGGCTCAGTCTTTCTCCTCTGTTGGTAAACCTGTGAGTTGTTCCTTCTTTTAGCAAGATAGAATTATTCACCTCCTTTTCAGGCAATATCAGGTTCTCAGATACGGAAAACATCTACACTGTCAAATGATCCTGTTTATATTATTCCGCATGGTTTTGGAACGGTAGCCAAACAAGTTTGATGAAATAAAAACTGCTCTATTATCATCGGAACCAAAAAGTCCTCCTATAGGAAATTGACCAAATTGGTGTCTTCAACGAAATAGTCTTATCGGTTGTTGAGAGGACTTTCATGTCTCCCTTATTCTCTTCGGTTGACTTGCTTTTACCTCCAGGGTCCCCCGATGAAGAACTATCGCATTTAGTTACCCATTCGGAAACTACAAAAGCAGATTCGCCCCGAAAGAGAAGCCAAAAACGACACAAGTCCAGCAAGGCCTTGCCAGAATCAGGTCCCAATTCAGGCCCCACTACAGTTACTTTAGAAGAAAAAGAAAGCAAAGATGAAGCTTCCACGTTTTTTTCCGAAGAACAAGCTTCCTTACACGCCGAATCGCAAGCGCGGTATTTTAGTGAGTCCAACGTAGTATGTTCCAACTGCGGTTTGGCAGGACACTTTTCCGTTTTTTGTCCGGAAGAAGTAGTTGGAAGAAGATGCTTTCTTTGCGGTGGAGAAGGTCATTTAGCAAGAAACTGTTCGGAGGAATTATGTCACAACTGTTTGCGACCTGGACATAAACGAAAGAACTGTACGCTTCCTCGAAGGGATTGGAGACGCGAAGAAAAGCATGCTTATCCTAAATATGAAGACCTTAAAAATGTGAAGAAGTTAAAGTGCTATATTTGTGGAAAGACAGGTCACCTCGATTGCAGCTTTGAAAAGATGAAATTTTGCAAAAGTATCAGCTGTTACAACTGTGGTCAAAGCGGGCATAGTGGTGGTTCATGTCGCAGACCTAGAGCCGACGAATATTTGTCTATATCTAATAGACTTGTAAGAACATATTCTAGGCCTAATAGGAAGAAGAGGCCATATGACATGAAAGAAGACGCAATTGTCTTCACAGAACAAGTTGAAAGAGCATTAAAGGAACGACATTTTATTAGAAGGATGTCTACACCTTCTTCTTTTGAGTCAATTCATCGTGAAAGTAATAAACTGGCCAAACAAAGACGATTGAGCAATATACATAGTTGAAGATAAATTTCTTTGTGGACAGTTGGGGTTTTTTCCTTCGTTTTGCGGTATATATTTTCCTCTATGACTCTAGATACATTGGTCTCTTTTACGAAATAGACAACAAGTTGAGCTGATTAGGGAGTGATGAAGTGGAGCTTATAATGAGCGTAATTCCATTTGTTTTTGTTTTATCATTTGAGATTTTTTTTCAACAACACGAATAAAATAAATATGGACGAATAATACTGTCAAATGAGAGAAAGCCTGAAGCAGATTTGATCAAAGGCGCGCATCCCTGGTTGCATTCTTTACGATTCTATCAACTGCGCGCCACTTCCATTAGAAAGCGCAATGAAGCCAAACAAGTTTTTCATTACGCTTTCTATCATTTACTGTTTATTTTCAACGTTGCTTTTACCTGTGTCGTCAAATATTTCTGAGGAATACAAATTCGGGTCGGTAGATAAGCGGGTGAGTTTATTTGAATACCTCTTGACGGTGTCCATTGAATTTAAGACTAGAGACTGGAAAATATGACCAACGAAGGTTTTCCTGTAAATCAAACAGATATACCAGCACCTGTACTGAATAATACTATGCCTTCTTTATCTCCAGTAAAAGAAACTCCTAATCCAACCGACAATTCCAGTTTGGAGACCACACAGGAAGAGCCTGACAAGGGAGATGATAATACTTCAGTTCAAAGTGATCAGTCGGAACCTGTAGAGTCAGCCACAAGTAAGGCAACGATATTGTCAATATTTTATATTGTTTAACACCATTCTATAGGCAAATTTTCCTTCTGGAGTTATTTGATTCTCATTATCGGAGTGCTTTTACCTCCTCTTTTCGTCTACTTTGGTGTTCGGGAATATCAGAGAAACAATTTGAATCACAGACGTCATTATCCATTCGTGAACACTAGAATATCCGATATAGAGGTTTCCGATGAGACAAAGGATAGTCTAGCTCATTCATAGTTTTACTTTATACGGAGCTGTTCAAAACGGTATGATCATTCTATGAATGCAGAAAAAATATTGCGCTTTCTAGTAAAGTTTCAAACGCTTTTCTGCTCAAATTTGTATTCATATAATTTGTACATTTGTCCAAAAGTTTGCCTCTAGTCTTGGAGGGTCCTGGTATATTAGCGATGGATGTCCAGTTTGAAAAGATTTGTGTACATTCGGCTCCCTGATATGGCACAGCATTCCGAAAATCTTGTTCTTGATATCTTAAATATTTCATTCCCAGATATGTGGCCATTATATAGAAACCGTTGTTCATTGCCATCTTGTAGGGAAAGACCTCTATGACGACACTTTGTGATGGCAGAAGCAGCATATTTGTACTAAATTTGAAGTGTTTTGGATAAAAATGAGGTTAAAATTCTATTAACGAAGAAAATACTCGACTTACAGATCTGCACCATGACTTGAGAAAAATATATTGGAATGAAAGACCACTTTCGCGTGATCCAACCAAGTTCCTTTTGAGAAATCGACAATGGAAGCCGTCACCTTCTTTGACTGACTCCAAGAAACCAACTGTTCTACATTTAAAAGTTGTCTCCTTCCAGTCCTCCTCACAAATAGAACATGGGGTTGCCTTCTTTTGGTATTTTCAAGACTAAAGTCATAATTCTTCAATAGAACTTTTTTCAAATATTCAGAGTAACGCTGAAGCAACAACGACTCTTCCGTATTTTTCTCCAAGGTCGTGTTAAGACTAGCTCCCCATTGAATGTTGTGAGAACCAGGACCTGGAGGAATCAATAGAAATTCCCGCAAACAAACTGTATCTTCATGCAAGATGATCTCCAGAGAAAAGATAGTCCGAAGTCTATCTAAAGTTTGTAGAATCTGGTTTCTATTGGGGCAACATTTCTTTTTTGATGATCGTCGTACGAACAAGATCCTCTTTACAGATAAGTTTTTAGACTTGAGTTGTTCCAGAGTACTCCAGATACGCAATGCTCCAAAAATATGAAGATGTGCAACATTTCCGTTGAAATAAAAAGGATCTACGGGTAGAATCCAAGTAAGTCCTAGTAAATAGTTATTTCGACAAACTTTTCTTTCTGTCTCTATCCATTCATTGTCCAAAATATGCATAGGGGGGCCATCAGTATTTGCTAGAACCATCAAGTCGTCTGTGATATTCAATTTTACCAGTGCAATGTCTCCTTTTTGTGTGCCAATGCGAAGAAAAGTTGTATGCTTACGACAGTTTGAAAACGCAACAATCTCCTCATTAGAAGAAGCCATGTACAATGCATTGCAGCGCTGGAAGTACTCAGCCAGATTTTTTGAAAAGTTTCCAAGGATTGGTGAAAAGTACTTTTCTTTCATAATATTCTGTTTAGAAAGTGGGCAAGAGAGCCATATAAGGAAAATTCCTACTGCTATGAACAAACTTGACTTATAGCTTCGAGTTTGCTTCCGCATTTGACAAGGAATGAGAAACTATCTAAAAAAATCGAGTCTCTGTCGACAAATAACAGAATCATAAGCGCGCCTAGCCTTGCATTTTTCTTTCAGCCCATTTGAGGATGGACAAATACATTCAACTGCTTTAGTCCATTTAAGTTCACAATGTCACGCAATCAAAAAGAGCTCTTTAAAAGGAAGTTGCAGAGTCCAAAAGTTTGAGTTGAAATCCTGGAGATACATATATTCTGATGGCTGTTTACAGCTACCGTCTTGATATCTAAAGATTCCAAATATGCACTTAAACGCAGTCAGTTATTCATTGACCGGTACCTCAGGACAACTTAACAGCACTCGATGCTCAAATAACATAAAGGAAAAAAGAAAAATTTTCAAAAACCAGATTTTTCATCATCTAGTTCACTTCCTCAGTCACTGTTCCCACTAGCAAACTCAATAATAGCTTTCTTAGCTGGAAGAAAACCCCCCAGTAAACTCATTCCTAGACCACGGATAAACGAAACTGAACCAGAGTTGAACGAAAAAATAGACTCCAAACTATGTAAAGATGATAGCATCAGTAAATTCTTTGGCAGTCTCTTCCTCTGATACTGCAGAAGAAGCGATAATTCACCAAGATCTCTTCCAGTCATCCATGCATTCTCGAAAATCTCAAGAAGACAACGAGCATCTGCAAATCCAAGGTTAACCCCCTGACCAGCAAGAGGATGAACTGAGTGTGCTGCGTCACCAATAAGAACTAAACGTTCTTTTACATATTCAGTAGCATGTCCCAGAGTTAGAGGAAAGCTTGCTGGACCACTCAATATTTCAGAAATGGCTGGTGGATATTCTTCCGAGTTGGGAACTTTAAGACTAATAGCATTGGTTGTACCCAAAAACGCATTGTTCAGCTCTTCGACTAACTCTTCTTTTGTTGCCAAGGACAGAATACTGGCCTCAACTTCTGTTGTTGACCAAACAACGTTGGAAATATTAAAACCTGCCATAGGTAGTAATGCAATAGGGCCAGTAGACAAAAATCTTTGCCATGCCGTCCGATGTAGTTTTTCTGTACGTACAGAAACAACGACAGCTCGTTGTTGATAATAATGCGAATACCGTGGTATGTTTGCAGACTTCCTGGTAGGAGAGTTGGAACCATCTGCAGCAACAACAACACGACCGTGCAGTTCATTTCCGTCTTTCAAAGTAAGAACAGGCCACTCAGTAAGACCACTATGAGACGAGGACCACTGAATAGTATCTACTTGTGAATCAAAAAAATCTATCTTGTCCTGAGTCGACACTGTTTGTCTTTGAATTCTTCTGTAGCAAGCCTTCAATAAGTCTTCATTAGCAACAACGGATCCTAGAGATTCCATGCCAACTTCTGAAGAATGAAACACTATTGATGAACCACTTCGCGAATCCCACACCTTCATCCTCGCAAACGAGGCAACCTCCTTTGAGTCCAATAATTCCCATATCTTCAGCTTCTTGAGCCATCGCTGGGAAGCAGGGTTGATAGTCGAGGTCCTCAAAGGGAACGATCTCTCTTTCTGTTCAGAACCGTTTGAAAGAAACGTTTGCAAGTGAGGTTCTACTAGGGCAACCTTACAAGGTGACTGTGACTGACAAACACCAGCACATAGTGCAGCGCCTACGAGTCCACCTCCAACAATAATAATGTCATAGTTTTTGCTCCCGACAGCTGAACATAACTTCCTCTGTTGCCAAAGCTGAATGGCTCGTCTTGACAAGAAAGTCATTTGGGCAAACTATCTTTTGTCATTAGATTCCTTCTTTTTTCTCTGAAGCATTTTTTGCTGTTTTCGTTCACGTCTTCATCAGTACACTGAGTCGTCACTAGAATAATGTTTCATACGTTGCGCTCTAGGAGAACTTCTACAAGTGCCACATCAAGCACATTAAAAGAAAAGTTGATAGAAAATGAAGCATCCAAACCAGGTGTCTCGTCAAAGAGAGTCCCTTATGTTGTCTTCTTTATTGCCTTGTGTACTGTTCTTTTCTGCATTGGATTCTTATTTGGCTCCCATAAAATCAAATTCAAGAGTGATTCTCAGAATAAAGAAGCTTCTGCTGTAACGGAACAAGCTACTTGGAGTTCAACAGTGTGGGAAGAGGAGAGTCAACTGGAAGAGCAGCTACCAACAAAGACATCGGCAAGGACAAAGGATAATTGGAAAAACTCTTTACTATTTGACTCCAGTCCCGTATATCAAGGTATCTTATATTCCTTTAGCTGTACGAGACAACACTTTTCTAAATGTTTGAACAAGGGCGTCCTTGGGATGATATAGCACATGAAGTTGCAATTGCTGTGAAAACAGGCAAAGCAGTATCAAAAGAAAGGATACCAAAACACAATGAAACCTGGTGGAAAAGAATTCCAAACTTATTGTTGATATCTGATGTAAAGGAAGATGAAATGAACTCTGTTGGCTTGAAAGAAATGTACGAGTTGCTGCCTAGAAACTTTAGTAAGCTACTGGGGTTGGAACAACTAGAGACAGCAGAAAAAGAAGTTGAAAAGCAACCTGCCTTCTTTGGAGAGATGACGGAAGGATTTGTGTAAGCTGGTTGAAACAAGCGTTTTACTATATCTAACAGTTTCCAACTAGGCTGGATAGTAAGAAGAATCTTCCAGGTTTTCTAGCACTATATAAACATTTTCCGAATAAGAAATGGTATATCATGTTGGACGATGACACATTTGTTTTTTTGGATAATCTCGCACTCACTTTGCAGATGGATCATTTTCGTCTTTTGGCTGAAGAACAACCTTTTTATTTGGGAAATCCTTTCACAGTAAGTGACTGCGATAAATATGGAGAATTCTTTGATGAGGAAGGCAAACCTAACCCATCATTTGCTCACGGAGGTTCTGGAATCGTTCTTTCAAAAGCTGCAATGGAAAAGATAATCCCTCATATTCCATGGTGTATAGAACGTTGGGATGTTTGTAAAGAAGGAGATGCTCGAGTTGGTCTTTGTTTGCTCTCTTTTCAAGTTCTCTTAACAGAATTACAGCCCTTCTTTTATCACGAAACGCCGAGCAAATACTTTGAAGAGTATGCATCTTTAACAGGCAATCGACAAGGAAGACCAGAGGCTCTCCCTGTAACGTTCCATCATATCAAGGGTTCTCTAGTGGATGAAATGCTTCAATTAGAGAAGGAAGCTATCACAAGACAATGGTTGGTAACCTATGCGGACCTCGCGAAAGCATTTGCTCCTGGAGACTTTGAATTTGCTTAAGACTTATATTAAACATCTCATTTGGATAAGGAGCTTAAGAGTACAAGTTTAGTTGGCTACGGAAAGATTTTTTCCCATTTAGGAGAGAGAATGACTTTAGACAAACCTTATCATACAACTAAGGTTTTCACAATTCATAGAAAAGAATATTCTTAAATGGCTTTACCATTCCAAATATCACAATCTATAATACAACTGAAATATCTTAAACGATTCATTCATCACTCATTGCAACCAGACGGTTTATCTACGAGATTTTGACGATGGACAATTTCTGCAGGGCCATCATATCCCAAATATTCTGTCTGCATTTCACTATGAAGTCCTTTCAATTTGTCAATTTCATCACTCGAGTAGTTTACAAGACCTCGAGCCACTTCTTGGCCACTTAAGTTGCATATACGAACTGCACTATCCGAATCGAAATAGCCCTCAACACGTCGAATTCCGGCAGCAAACAAAGACTTTTTGTTCTGTATTGCTTTTTCAGCTCCTTCATCTATATATATAGTGCCAGAAGGCTTCAAGCCATGTGCTATCCAGCGCTTTCTTCCGCCTCGAATAATCTTCTCCTGTGGAAGAAAAATAGTCCCAATTCCTTTCTGACCAATTGAAACAACAAAATTTAACATATTCTCAGGCTTTCTACCATTCATAATACAAACAGTAACACCCGATGAAGTAGCAAGACGAGCAGCGATAATCTTTGAATGCATTCCTCCAGTTCCCCATTGCGTGCCTCCCTTGGTCCCACTTCCAGTATGAATGGCTAAAGAATCAATATCCTTAACAATATCAATAGGAACTGCAGAAGAATCAACACGTGGATCCGCAGAATATAGTTGATCAACATCGGTTAGTAAGAATAGCCACTTGGCATCCAAAAGTCCTGCAACCATGGCTGATAATCGGTCGTTATCTCCAAAGCGTAGTTCTTCTATGGCTATGGTATCATTTTCGTTAACAATAGGAACGACGCCCAGTCGAAATAGTTCAAGAAAGGTACTTTTGGCATTAAAATATTGATGCCTCTTAGCAATATCACCACGGGCTAGTAAAACCTTTCCAAAGTTTCAGATACGATTATTCCAACACAACAGTTGTCCCACCTGTGCAACGTGCTGGTTCACGTAACCAAACAACCCCTCATATATTCTCATTAGAGAGGATTGTCCAACTGCTGCTAGTGCTTGTCTGGCTGAAAGAGATTCCGGACGTCTCTTCAACTCCAACCGTTTACAACCCAAACCTACAGCACCAGAAGTTACAAGAACCACATGAAAGCCTGCGTGTCTCAGTGCAACAAGAGTGTCTATCAAGAGTGCTAAGGTGGACAGTGCTATGTCTCCCTCTTCTTCCTCTCCTCTCATAATTGTGGAAGTTCCAACCTTCACGACAACAACTTCTCTTTTCCCATTATTTGACAAAAGGTCAACAACTGAAGCGCTATTTAAACTCACTTGGGAGTTCGACATAGCTTACAACTTTTCCAGCCAGCCCATTCAATTCGTTGCTAACGGATATTGAAATGAACTTGCTAACTACATTTGTATTACTGTGATGATATGAATACTAACAATTCTTGGCCTATTGTTTCTAAAAATGACAAGAACAAGCTCTAGAGAGGAAAATAGATGTCTTCATGCTTGTAGATTGAAAAGTTATCCATTAGCTTCGATAAGAAATACACTAGTTGCTCTTTCGAGTAGTTGACAAAAGTCTTTTCGATAGCACTGAAAGTCATCCCGTGATTCTTTCGAATCATGTGCAGTATTTCTTCAAGCGCCAAAACTGTACTATCCACAGCTCCTCGCCGTTCCTCTACACAAGGGAATAACTTTGGATAATAATATCTCTTATAATATTGTATAGCTTCAAGTTCCACAAGTAACTCTTCGATGGGTTCTTTAGCTGTCTTTAAATCCAACGCTACAACTGTGCAACGAGAACTAAAATCCAGAACCTCAATGAATCCGCAAACTACAACAAACACGCCTTTTTCCACAGCAGACTGCTGCAAACCAACTAGTTGTTTCGAAATCAATACGTCTGCAAGCCCAGAAGAGTCATCTTTCTTTATCGTTAGGTTCTATAGTGTCAAAGAGAAGCTCCAGACTAACCTATTTGAATAGTAAATTCTTCCAGACTTGTTGCTTCTATATTGACGACAATACCAAAAACAGTTATCTTGTCTAGTGGTACTCTGTTTGCAAATAACAATCCATCACTATGTGGATCCTTGTTAAGCTTTGACAAGTCCCGAAGGAAGAGACCATGCGAAAGTGCATCCATTTTGAATTTGTCCAATTTGTTTCTAGAATTAGGCAATGCAGTGGCTTTCTCATTTTTGGCGAATACCTTATACAAGCTATTTGACTATAAGTGACATTATTATAGCTTTAGTGCGTTACAGAGGTCAAGCAAATAGAGGAGCAAGAGCAAGAAACTTATTTTCTAGTGAGCGGTAGGTTTATTTGACTGGCCTTGCTTGAAGCAGTTTCTGAAGCGGCTTACAGAACCTTCAACTCTTGGCTCCGTTCCGGATTAGGAGCTATGGCCCTTGGAACAACTGCTTCCAAATATGTATATACAGCTAGCGGAAAGGCTGCTGCTATTTTGCTATTTTGTCTTGGCGTTATTATCACTTTCTATTGTTTGGTCAGACACTATCATTCAGTTTTCCAAATTGAGGAAGATATTCTTTATTCCATTTCAGTTCTTCCCGTGACCTTTTCCATATTGGCGGTGGCTTTGGCTGTTACTATCTTTGTGTTAGTTTTGCTGGATGAAAGTTATTGACCCGAGCTTCACACCTAAATTGATTGTACTACTATTGCGATGCTTCCAACAAATGTCAAATGAAGCTTTAATTTTCAAGACATATATTGCTTTTGTTATAGAGCAGAAGTTAATGGCAAAATATTAACTTTGTGCCATGAGTTATTCATAACTCCACGCAAGTTCCATAATGGAACCTCCGGCTGGGTATTACAGGCCGAATCTATTGCTCGAGCCATAATAACCATCGGTGGCTTTATATCAACGACCAGTTCCCATAAAACCCAAGACCAGTCCTTCAATCCGGCAGTTATCCTTTTGGGAATTTCTCTATTTGCAATTTTTTCACCTTTGATCAATTTCGCCTCTTGCCAGTCTTTTGAACCATTCACAGATAGCTCAACTCTCATGATATGGTCTCCTTTTCCAGTTAGTGCATATCCTCGAACTTTATAAGGCCCTTGAGATAATTTTGTATCTGGTAACGGATCACATATCGCACACTGAACAGACAAATTCATGATAGGAGGAGTTGAACTCCAATCAACATTCCCAAAGTCCATACTTGACGGAAGATACTTATAGTCCTTGGTCATAAAGAAGCCCTCTGAAGAATCCATCTTACAGATAATTCGGCTAAGCCACTTCACACTGCGAGCACCAACAAACCCAGGAACAATGACTCGCAAAGGATACCCATGATCTCTAGACAAAATCTCTCCATTCATTTCGTATGCCAGAAGAACCTCCTGGTCTTCATCAAGTGCCTTCTTTAGTGGAATGGAAGCCAAGTAACCGCTCCGATTTTCTTCTTCAGGAGGCAAATCTGCACCTTCGAACTCAACATGTTCAGCTTTATTTGGATATACACCAGCTGCCATCAAAACGTCTTTGAGTAACGCTCCAGACCAAACTGCGTTACCTGCTGCACCATGCAGCCAAGGAACTCCCTGAATAGGTTTAATACGACTCATTTCAGTACGTCTGTTTCCTGCACATTGCAAAACAGCGGTGACGGTGTGTTTCCGGAACTTTGTCTTGAGATCCTGAAGAGATAGGAGCAGTGGATATGCTACAATACCTTCCACACGAAGCCTGAATTCTTCTTCACTCCTCAAGACGGGTACAGGTGCATGATTCCTTACAAAGAAAAGATCGTTTGGTACATAGAAGCTTCTAGGGAGTAGATCCTAAAAATCTTTAGATATAATACAAGGCAAGTAAGATATTTGCTTCTTACAGGTCTTGTCTCTGCGTTAAATGGTTTCTCACAATTCACAATGAGTTCCTTTCTTCTGGGTGGTTCTTTATCATACTTTTCTGTTCTAAGATAACCAGCGTACTCGTAGGAGATGTGACCATTCATTTTCACGAAGTCACTAATGGACCCGATTGAAATGGGGCGACGCAATTACCGTTTCAAGGGAAAGCAAAGTTTCCAGAAAACTTTCAGATTAGTGTTGGGGTACTCACCTTTCCACTTTGAGAACATTTCGATGGAACGAAACGGTTGCGAAACAATGCGAATGGGCCATTTTGATAGAATGATTAGCCATTTGGATTGTCTCTGGGTAACTTCCCCCGTTGAAGCTAACTTTTATAGACTAGCTTATACGAGACAAGGAAGAGAACCAAACTGTTGTTTTCATAACAAGAAAAGATTGCATTTTCCAAAAAGTACTTTTCGTTTGCAGATTCGGTGCCAAGTTGACGAGAAAAAGTTGGGCCTGACTCCAGAGCTTGCAAGGCTAGTTAAAAGCTTTGCGGCAGCTCCGGACCCCAAACTAAGAGTTCAGCAGCTACTTTATTTAGCGCAGACTTTAGAGCCGCTGCCTTTCCAGTATAAGACAAACGAGAATAAAGTTCCCGGTTGTCTCTCCACAGTTCACGTCGTCGGCGACTGTGATAACGAAAAAATATTTTTCAAGGGAGATTCTGACGCACAGTTAACCAAGGGTTTATTAGCACTGCTCATCAAAGGCTTGAACGGTTGTACGGTTGAGGAAATCGAAAGAATTAGTCCAGAGTTTGTAACGGTGGCAGGTTTGAGTGTCAGCTTGACTCCAGGAAGAAACAACGGTTTTTTAAACATGTTACAGTAAGTAGTTTTTTGTGATCTCGAAGTTTTGAGACTTTACTTGAAAAGGACAATGAAGAACAAGGCCAAGGAGGCAGCTTCAAAGCTTAATGGGGTTTCCAGAGAAGGGCGTAACTATTCTGATAGAGTTCCAAAAACACAGGCTTCACCTTCAACAGCTGAAACAGCAAGTGGACCTATCTATTCTGCTATTGTAGAAAAACTTCAAAAGTTGAAGCCTAGCCGACTGGAAGTTCACGATGACTCGTTCCAGCACGCAGGGCATGTTGGTGCGAAAGGGCTTAGAAGTTCAGAGACACACTTTTCTGTTTACGTCGTGTCGGACGCGTTTGTTGGTTTATCACTTGTGAAGAGACATCAGCTTGTTTATACTTTGCTTGGACAAGAGCTCAAGGAAGGTTTGCATGCGTTGCGCATTCAAGCGAAGACTCCTTCAGAAGTTTCAGATGAGTAAAAGAACTTTGGAAGACAACATATGTTTTCTCTGTGATGAGAAGGATAAAATAATTTGAGCATTAACATGGTTCTTATTACCTGAGATGTTCTGTGGAACTTGTTAGTCATGAATATAGATTATTTGAATGGCTTCCTATAAAGATAAAAGTTTCTGTATTCCTTTACACTCATAGTAGCAATGAATATCTATGCAAATGATAGTAACTGGATGTCACGTCTTCACAACTAACTATTTTGTACTGATTCAAGGAATTGGGAGAAGCTTACATGTCTTGGTGCATGACATTGCTCGAGCTTTTGAAGTTGTCAAGGTCTAGCAAGCGTTTATTTTAAGCCTCAATAAGTTCCACGGCTTGGGTTCTAGAGGAAATGAGTCAGAGCGTCCCCGTTAAGAATGACACGGAAGATAGTTGTGGAGTACAAAAACTGTCCAACGCTGTGGAAGAACCGGCTGGAGAAGGTCAACTTGCCAATACTACAACGAATACCGAAGCTTTGAACTTTACCACTTTGCCTACTTCTAACAAGAAGCTGACTGACCGTTTGTTTTCGTGTGATTCCCCATCGAGTCAAGTAGCTGTCTTGAAGGAACAAACACCTCAGGGAAATTTACCTTCTTATTCTGCGTTCACAAATGAAACAAAACCTTCTCTATCGAAGATTAATTCTTCGGAGGAATTGAAAAAGAAGATTGAAAACATTAATATGAGAGTTCGCTTCCTTCAAAGTCAACTTGCCGCGAAAGAAGCTGCACTTGAGTCTCGAAAGGATTTTTTAAGTCATCGGGAACAACTTGCAGCGAAGTCTATACCCATCTCTTGCTCAACTAGGAAAACTTTGAAGATTGAGCCACCAGAACCTCTTGATGTCACTGTAAATAGGATACAGGCCGAAAATGCAAGAAGAATATCCGAGTCTCATCGATTACTGGACTACAACTTAAGTGGTGAAGATTTTACAAGTTCGAATATCTATGGGTTGCTGCAAGAAGGAACTTTGGAAATACAAGGCTCAGAGGAAAGCAACCTACGAAGTCATTTGGAGTCTTCTATCCAAAAAGAAAAGGATGCGCAGTTGGAAAAAATAAAAACTCTAAGAGAGGAATATTTTACGTTGAAGGATGCATGGATAGAGCGAATAAAAAAGATGGATCGACAGAGAAGCAAAGAGGGCAATAGTTCTTCTTCACGAGAACGAGACGTGTAAGTTTATCTTTCTGTTATCTTTTTCGCTATCTCTCAGATTGAAATAGTTGGCTTGTACGAGCAACTCGTGGGACTGATGTTGTAAAAGCCACGAGAAACCGTGGTCCAAGTTCGTCTCCCACTAACGGAAGTTCTTCTGATGAGACAGATAGTCGCTTGGAAAGTAATAATGGAAAACAAGTCAACGGATATGATAAACATTCTCAGAATAGTACGACGGCTGTTATACCGGGACAAGTAAGTTACTTGATTTTAAGTTTACCATTTCTTTGTTGAGCTTTACTGGAAGGTAAGTCTATTCCAACCATTTGAAGGTGGAAATGTGTTATACGAAAATCCTATTGTGGAAGCCTATTTTGACGCTCTTGTGAATCCATGGACAAGAGCGGAAAGGATTGTTTTTCTAAAAAAATTTCTTCAGTTCGGAAAGAACTTTCGGTAAGAACTTGTTTCATACTTTTTATCCTATTCATGTCTCTGTAGTAAAATTGCAACATTCTTGGAGTATAAGACAACGGAGGATGTTGTTCGTTATTACTTCAAGAACAAGCTAAAGTTGAATCTGAAATTATTAGCTAGAGAATACATAGGTTCTAGGCAACAGTCTTGGAAAGCATCTAGTGCAATTCTTGCAACTAGTGGTTTTCCAGCAGATAGTGTAACAAGGAGATGGATGATGGACAATTTTAAAGCATTGAAAAATAAGGAGTCTTTGAATAACGTCTCAGATTGTAATTCAGGTTATCTTAACTGGAGAAGGGATTCAAGAGCTCCTCATACTCTTGCCAGTATAACAGGAACAAGTTTTGAAATGCAAACAAAGAAGATTCTGCGTGAACATGGGTTACAGTCTATCAGTGAGGATCACACACCAACTTTTGAGAATTCTACTGTTTGCATTCCTGTTGGTAGAGATGGATACATTTCTCCCTGTTATGTGATTGAAAAGATAAAAGTAAGGCAACAAAAGGAAAATCTTACGGAACGACGACGGAGTGGAGTCTGGAAAGTCCAAGGAAAGATAAAGAAAATGGATGTTAAGAAATATCGTTGGACAAACAAAGAAAAGAATGTTTTTTTCAAGCTCCTGAAAGAATTAGGTTGTGACTGGGAAAAGATATCGGAACAAATTCCTACCAAGTCTCCTCTTCAACTTCGTGCCTTTTATGACGAATACGTGTCACAGAAAGCAACGGAAGTTTCCGAAGGGGATTCAACCAATCCGAATTCACCTTCTATAGCAAGTGATGGAGAGATGGCTACTTTTACCAGGAGTTTGCGTAAGAGGAAGGAGTCTCAAGAGAATTTAAGTACAAAGCGTTTTCGGCGAGTGGTTGGAGACAATGAATCAAAGGAAGACTTGAACGATGCAGACAGTTATGCACAGGACAGAGCTTCCGTGTCACATAGTTGTAAGACAGAAAGATTCCTAAGTGAGGACAAGATGAACTCTCAGAGTTCATTTGATAGGGATATCTCAAAAGTAGGTTATGTTATCATGGGATGGTCTGTAAGATTAAACTTTGGACAGGTTAGTATTCCTAACGACTTGAAAGATGAACAAAAGAATGTTGAAGATGACGCCAATTCAGATGATACGAGTAGGATCAGGCGTAGAACTCTCAATGTTCATGATTTGTTGAGCGAATAAAATTATCTAACATTTTTTTTGGTTGGTTAATGAGAGATATACTATTTTAAAATTTCTTTTATAATCAAACCCACTCCCTATCCAAATATTCCAATCAAAACAATTATTAGAGCATCGAAGAAATGTTGAAGTAAATTTTCATAAACTTATAATTCATCACTCATTAACTAGTACACATTTGGGACTGTTGCGTCACCCGTTTCTAAACACAAAGCTTGGAACTCTTCTTTCTTAACAAAACGGCCCCTTATACGAGGACGCACATCCGCCAACCTCTTTCGACACTCGTAGCGAATTTTCTTTTGATAACATCTGTTAGACCTTTTCTGACGGAAGCGTTCTAGAGCAATACGACGTCTTTCTGTTTTTGCCTCCGTACAAGCTTCAGCTTCTTCCTCCTCTTCTTCCTCTCGTCTCTTTCTATCATCCAATATAAAGCTTGGCTCGGGGCTTTCTATATCTCTGGTGCTATCTGAAATGTCAGATATCAACGTTTGTTCTTCAGAACACATGCTATCAACCGACGAAGGTAGAGTCACCCTAGAATGTGACTTTTTTCGGAACTCAAGAGCGTCATTGTGACAATTAGAAACTTCACTCGAGGTTTGTGGCGAAGACTCTTCATCTCTCAAAAACAGACGACAAACATCGTCAACCCCCGAAGAATACTCCGGGACGAGGGAATCCGTCGGGCTCAATTTTTCTAAAGCTTCTAAAGAGTTTGCCTGATTGCGACCACTGCGTACATTCTTTGAAAAAAGAGTGGAATCTAGCAAATATAAGTCGCTAAGATTTTCTTCTCCACAGGTGCTAGGCTCGAGGGAGAAGCTTTCAAACGGAAAACATCTTTCTCCAAAGGAAGTGTGTTGAATGTTTCTCTTTTGCTGCTTTCTGGGTCCGGAATATGCTTCCAGTACACCTGCCGTGGTGCAAATTCTACAAAACTACGTAAAAGGGCGTTAACGGCAACTAGTGACGACCTACCTTACGTGGCTTCTTGCTTGCGTGTCATTGTCGTGAAAGACAGCGTCACAGTGGTCACAAAGAAAAGCACAGTCCATTTCACAGTAAGCAGTGGCTCTCTCAAGCTGGCAGCTATCGCATAATTGTGCTTCTAATATTTCCCTTGCCTTCACCATTTGAAGAAAAGCCTTTTCAACAACACGTTACTCCAACCGAGCCTCAGATGAAACCCTACCACCGGCCTGCTCAGAATGAATCTCCAAAGAAAGGGAATGGACTAAACATGTCAGCCATTCATTCATTCCGAAGGTGCGTTGAAAATGGATCTCATCTTTTCTATCTTTGGAAGAGTCCATAGGGAGATTTATTTCAGGACATAATAAAGTATCATATAATACAATATTGATGAGTTTTCACAATGTTGTTAAAGAGACGTAAAAGGTAGTGTAAATGGAAACTTAAAATCCACGTTGCTCCTTTTCAACAACTTGTGCCAAATCCAGTAAATAAAAGGATAAGTTAATAAAAGGTTTCGAGCACCGAGAGCTGCAGGATGTTGCCAACTACCCCATTGACCAACAACTCGACTAATTGACGTAGGTCAACTGTGTTTTGAACAATGAAAGTGTCTTACCTTGCAAGAACTATGCTTTGCGCGTGACGGGAACGAACAGCTGAATATACTTCTAGTGCTCTGTTGTCTTCAAGACCATATTTGGAAACCATTTGGGCTAAATAGGCTGCGTCTTCTATAGACATACAAGTTCCCTGATGCATATTCGGTGTGACGGGATGTGCTGCGTCTCCTACAAGTGTCGCACGGCCTCTTGTCCAATTGCCAAGTGTTGGCCAATTATAAACATCATATCTAATGATCAAGTTGAGCGTACCATCTTCTACAAAAATTTTCTCCAATATTCACCTTCTTATGTCAAATTCGTTACTATTACGAATGAGGTCCTCACAAAGAAAAGGCCACCCTTGAAAGCGTTGTAACAATTGCGGTCTGAAAGGTCTCAAAAATATTTGTCCCGGTGCTGCATTTGCTATTGCATACCTACACTTGTTCATCTAGCAAAATCAATTCAAAAGCCAATGCCTACCAATAAATCCTATCGGGATTAACAACTAATGTGCCAAAACGTGAACCAGCTCCCCAGAGTTCTTTTCCAGTAAAAAATGGAAAATGCTTTGTATCTGAAAAGTTCTAAACAAATTGCATAAGCAGGGCTTTAAGAGACAACCCATAACTTACTACTATACTTCTCCATGTCGTATATCCCGCATACTTTGGCTCTAGATTAATGCCCATAGTCTTACGAACCTTCCAAAGTGAGTACAAACTTTTCATTATGCAACAAAACTTACTTTGCTAAAAACTCCGTCACAACCGATCAAGAAAGATCCTTCAAATTCACCATATTTGTCAAATCTTACTTGCACATAGCTGCCTCGATCCAAATAAGATTGAAATCTGCGGAAATAAGTAATAAGAATATTTTAAAGATAGCTGACCTACTTCGCTCCGAAGAAAACTGTGTCTGGCGGTAAAAGTTCGGAAAGAATCTGTCGTAAAATATCCCTTGGAACTGGCACAATTTCTGTACCGTTATAGGATAAGTGTTCTTTTAACAGATTCCATTTCTTCAGCAAAGTTCGGTTCTTAACATCGTATATCTGTAGTTCTAAAGTTGGCATTCCATGCATTCTAGCCTTTGTTCCAGCTCCCAGTCGATCAAGAATAGCGGAAGCATTTGACCACAGCGATACTGCAGCACTAGGTTCCACAGCTTTCAAATATTTTATGAGAATATAAATAGTTGCGCCAAACATACATACCAGTTAGTTCCTCTTGTTGTTCAAACACAAAACAGCGTACTCCAGCACGGTGAAGAGCTAAAGCTGTGGTCAAACCAGCTAGTCCTCCACCAACAATAATAACTGGACGACCTTTTTCGGAAGTCGTAAACATAGTTATAGCTTTGTATACGAAAAGTCACTCATTTCAAAGTTGAAAAGAATCAACTACTCTTCATTTTATTGAGATGAGATATGAAGAACGAAACTAAAAAGAGCGATGCAAAATTTGGAAAGTTCAGAAAAAAACTTGTGCAAACTCGTCAGTTCAGAAGATAACATGTACAGTAAACATCATTGACAGGCTCATATATATTGTAAACATCCTAAACAGGAGAGAGTCAACTGTAAAGTAGTCTATAATACAACAGACTCAACAGACAAGAACTCTCGCGATAAAAAGTGTTTTTCGTGTTTGGGTTTCACCAAATACTCCACGTTAAAGTGACAACAACGAAGTATCGCTAAAACCAAGCTCTATTCTCCAAGACGAGAACGTTGCGGAACTTTAGCGCTCTTCCTAAACTGTTAAATATTACTTTTAAAACAAGGAACTGCCTTTTTCAAATATCGTACCATCCAATAAAAGGGAAGCAGAACACCTAAAACAAGTATAAGAGCACCCAATAAATAAGGACCTATAAGAACTGGTTGCTTCCATTGATGACGATTCATGCGAAGCACAACGTTTGTCAACAATTTTCGATCTGTATTTTCTACGAGTGTCTTAGGTGAGTTGTTATCTTCGAGTACAATTCTTCTCGTTGGTTACCTTTATCAAGGTGGTACTTCCCGTTGTCTGTTTTACGACTATCATCGTTGCAAGAGAAACTGGTTGGTTAGAAAGTCACAAAGAGTTGTTTCTTTCAGGAGTTGGATGTCAGCGGTGGATTCTTCTGCTTCAGTTAGAGTGATATCTTCAAAGAAGGCACAGGATAGTACTCTTATACTATTACATGGGTTTGGAAGTTCGGCTTCTGATTTAGTGGCTCTTGCAGAAAGTGTTGCTCCTCCGAGTACCAAGTGTATACTTCCTGAAGCGCCTCTTCTAAATGATGCGCCGTTTCCAGTTCGTGGTTGGTAAGTTGAAATTTTGGGTTTCATATATTTATTGTAAAGAAAGGTTTTCGCTGGATTTGACTTCACATCTTTGGTATCGTTGTTCTGACAAGGAAGGACTTGAGAGTACCCTAAATAGAATATTTAGAATAGTGGAGGATGAAGTAGAAAAGAGAATATCTTTGAACAGAATTTTTATTGGAGGCTTTAGTCAAGGAGGAGCAGTGACTTTGAACTGTATGTTACGTTCTCCATACCAATTAGGAGGCTTTTTCGCAGCTAGCTCTTGGCTAGTAGGTGAGGAAGAATATCCAGCAAAGTTATCATCGACAAACCTTGAAACACCATTGTTTATGGGACATGTAAGATTCCCACATACCTTTTTATTGAGGCTAAGGCTTCTTCAAATAGGGAGAGGATGACGCTGTAGTGCCTTTTGCTCTAGGAAAACGTTCTGCGGAACTCATCCGTTCCTTTGGTTTGAAAAATATTCTGTTTCGTAACTATCCGAGAATGGATCACTTTATAAATGAACAAGAGAGGCGAGATATTGAAAGTTTTCTAAGTAGTTGCTATTATGATAGGTCGGTTTCGAAGGAATTTCTTTCCCATTAAGGTTTTGTTGGTTGGCGATAAGTTTTCTATAAAAATATCTAGTCGAAATTAGAAGCCTTTTAATTGCGTTATGTTCATTTGAAACTGCGAAATTTGAAAGAGAAGATATGAATGAATATCCTTGAGAACCTGTTTGTCATCCAGTTGTGCATAAACTGTCCACTTAATTTCTTTGAAATTACAATGTATTTATTCGAGTCCACTATATATAATATTGAAAAGCAACCTTGAACATTGATACCAGACATTACAGATATATGCCATTGTCAATGGTAGATAAATTTTCCATTAAGATTGACGAAAGTATAAAGAAGCAATAGATGTGGGGAAAATACTGTCCAAATATTTCGAGGTAGAGTTGAAATCTTTATTGTAAGTTATCAAACTTGATGAAAATAGAGTACTTTGTTTAGGTCTTATATATCTATGTGTGAGTGACAGTTGTTCTACAAAGACAGGTTGTATAGATGGAATGTCCAATGAAGCCAATTCATCAGGGCCATTTCATTCACGATTCGCTGGCTAATTTTCCCAGCGTGGCTTTAACAAATGACCCGATTCTGTGAAGAAAAAAAGAGTTGCTGAATTTGTCATGAAAGGCTACAATGACTTTACGTCTTCCAGGAGTTCAGGAAATACATTTGTTCTATTTTACCATGGGACAATTTCTGCTCTATACTTTGTAAGTCCAAATTTACTGTAACAGGAATTGTTCGAAGCTCACGTTTCTTATAGCTAGGGGGTCTCGCTCTAGTAGGGGTCGGTATTTACGCTGAAGTGACTCATAGTGGGAAATTTGACTTGGAATGGACAAATGGTTGGTTAACATATTATAGAAAGATATTGTTGTTTAATTTGGGTATTCAGACTTTTGGAAGGTTATATCAAACTTTGGAATAGCAGGAATAGTTGTTGGCGCGGTAATTGCCCTAGTGGGAGCTTTTGGGTTTTTTGCCTTTGGTCGAGGCTGCTGTGGCAAATTTTTTAAATTTGTCTATTTTATTCTGGTCATATTATGTTTTCTGGTGTTGTTATTTACCGCAATTGTCACTCTTATGTTGGCTAATGGTGACAACGTTTCACCTTTCAAAAGTGCAGCCTGTAGTGCATGGAAGCAAACTGCCTCAGATGACCCACAAGAAATATGCAAGATCCAGAATGAATATAGTTGTTGTGGATTTTCTTCTTCATGTGACCCAACTACAACTATATCTACGTGTCCTTGCGTTACAACCAACCATTGCTACGAAACCATCATCCACAAATATCACAAATGGTACCTTCCTATTGGAGTTGTGAGCTGCATTCTAGGCGCTTTGACGCTTATCGATTCTTTAGTCGTTTGTTGTGTTTGACTTATAAGTTGTATCCTATTCTTTCTTGTTAGTGTTCAAACAAAAACATAGTGTAAACTTGCTTGTTTTGTAAGAAAATTTTCAAGTATTCGTATACGAGTATAGATGTTGGTTATATTCTCAATGTGATGACAAATGTTACAAAATATCATTTTTAGTTCTCAACGACTGATCGAGTTGGAAAGCTCTTCTTGTCAATTATTTGCTCCACGAGTTTTCACTATTGTCGTCCAAACACAAAGCAAGCCTGTGAAAGACAGTTTTCCAACTGAGTAGCTAACACTTGCAAAGAAATGTTCTATTTATAATACCTGAAGATCATGAGAAATCTTGTCCAATCAGTTATTCGGCAACAACTAAGAGTTTATTTTCTCCAGCTTTGTCTTAGAAAGTTCTCCAAAGAAAAACTATTATCTATGACAATCGAATCTCTGGCAACATGAAGTTGGTATAACGTGAAAAAGTTATACAAGCCACTTAGACGCAAGATTGCACTCAATATCATTCTTCGATAAGCAAGATTAGGTGAAAAGTTTACAGTTGTTATGCAAAGCTCAACTAAAGTAATAAATTTGAAAATGATATTTCTTATGTCGATTGGAAGACACCATTGTTGATGACACTTCTGAAGAAGACACTCAAACAGTTGCCATACAAAAGTTAAGGATTTGTAGAGTTTTTGATATAATATTACCTTGAAAGTTAAAGGGCCCTTCGAGTTATGTTTCCGCTACTTGGCCTGGTATGGGTCGAGTTTGATGTTGAAAACGGACCTTGTATCAGGGATACTTTCTATCCTGTATGTGAAGACAGTGGGTCCTGTGAACGAAGGGACGTGTTTTCTACCAGTGCGAAAGACTTCATAGCTTTCCATGCAATGCCTGATTCAACCAGTGTGTCATCAGAAATAATCCAAATGGAAGATTCTCTCTTTTTCTTTCGTATTCCTTACAGTTTATTATTAGAGACAGAATCAGCTGCTTATTTTTGGAAAAATAACGGTCCTTGCCAAAGCAAATTTTGCTTCCAAACTGTAGAAGTTATTGGCCACAGCTTGTTTCGAGTATCTGCCAGCGAAAGTGCTCGAAGAGGTTATACTCAAAACGCGATAGTTGCAGTTTGTACCACCAATATCTCTACCTGTTTCGTGAGACCACTTCTTTATCTAGTTACAGGCAATTTGTTTCAACATGGAAGATTACAGAAGGATAAGATTGAGCGGGAGCTTGAATACTTGAAGTTTCAGTGGCTGGAGATAATAGCTGGAGGAACGGATAGTTATGGTTCTACAGTGAAGACGTTAACATTCCTTGGCAGTCAATTATTAGTGAAAGGAGATTATTTTTTATGTCCTTGTGGTTCAGCAAGACAGTGGTATATTCATACTGTTGAAGTTACTGATGAAGAACCTAATTTATACCATTCGATGAAAACGAGAGATTTCCCAATTACTTCCTTAGTGAAGCCAAATTGTAGTGTTCCTTTTTTTCACGAATTTGATTTGTATCTATGCTTTTCAGAAAATTTAGGCTACTTATGGACTTTGTGGGAATTGATGATGTTAGGAGAGCCCATCTTAGTGGTTTCATCAACTCCAGCAAGAGCTTGTTCTGCTGTCGGATGTTTGTTAAGTCTTCTTGTTCCTTTATTACCTATTGGCGTGAATTGGCAATCTTATTTTGTTATTCAGGCAAGTCCTTGTTGTTTTGAGTATTTGTTTGTTTAGCCCTCAAGTTAGGATTTGGATGAATCGAAGGATAAAGAGTGTCTTTGCCGTAGTCTATTTGGCATTACTAGTGCGTTTTTATGTAACCAGTTTGAAGAATCGAGACATATTCTCTTTATTGGGCAAGCTATTGACCGTCATAGTGAAATGTATCCTTCTCTCTATTTGAAGACGAAATATTGTCAAAAATTTAGCAAAAGCAGACGTTTCTTAAAAGCATTACAAAATTCCTCACAAAGACTTGCGACCTGCGTTATATTACGCGAGTATTTTCGAGAAATGACTTTGACTGTTTTGAGAATGTTTCATCCTTTTTTTGTTCCTTTGAATGCTCAAGAAATGAAACAAGATGGGAATAATCATGACGAGGATGATATTATGAAGATATTGATGCAATCGCCTCCCGAGTTTCGTTGTTTCGATAAGACAACCTTTCCAAGTGATCATGATATTGAAGTTTCTTCTATTACGTCTCTGTTATCTTCCAAACGAGATGCTCTGGCCAACAAGTTTTTATTAGATAAAAAGCATCTTTTCTATTCTTCGGTGAATGATCATTTGTCTGAAAATGATGAAAGTGGTTCCTCAGATGGAGGGGAGGATTCCGATGGGGACGTGAAGTTTAGTGAACTTTCAAGGAATCTTGATTCTCTACAATTATCATCTGCCAAAATGTCTCATTCCAGGAGACGTTCAGGTTCTGAAGATCATTCCAGAAAGGGTATTCGTCACAAGTTAAAAGAAGCATCTCGTCATCGGAAACTTTCCAAGAGAAAAGTTGTTGTTCGTCAGTTTGTGAAAGACTTTATTCATGGTCCAGTATTTGAAGAGTGGTTTAGGAAACGTAGACTTTTAGCGGAATATCGATGGTTTGTTCGATACAAGCAATGTATTACTGGTGTTTTAAGTAAACTCGAAAGTGGAGATAGAAGATGGCAACTTCCCAATCTTTGGAGAAACAAAATAGAAACACACATTAACTATGTGCGTCAAATGGGTGATACAGAATTAGAATGTTGGCTATTGAACGCTTTTACTCAGTTGGAGATGATCGTGAAAAATCAAAGCTATACGAGTCAGACTTGAAAGCCATTTCATCGGACAACGAGATTTCGATTTCCCGCCAATGCCAGTCACTTTGGATGGCTTCTCTCGTTGCTTTTGCCTTTGCTGTTATTGGTCTATCCTCTTATATTTTAATATTCTTTTTATACATCCCTCAAATATTGGCAAAGGTAGTTGCTAAACTTTGTAACCATGTTGTGTTTCGAAGAGAAGCTCATATAAGTATACGTTCCTTGCGTTTCATCTTCTTGTCTGGAAAAGTCAATTTGAAAGGTCTTTGCTACACTACTATAGACGCAAACCTATATGTAGAAAACCTTGAGATAACAGTACTATGGTGGAGAGCCTTATTTCTCAATAGGCGTTCAAGTAGCTCCCACCAACCGACTCAAGGGCGTTCTGAAGAAACACCTGCTGCTTTTATTGTTGCCCAAGGAGTTCAAATTCGTCTAGTCAATCAAAAAGCGCGCTATGATTTTATTCAAAAAGTCGTAGAACAACAAACTTATAACGTTGATTTACAAGCTCCATTCAGCTTACTTGTAGAAGAGTTCGAAGGCTATTCACTATGGCTCTATCAGTATTTGGGTCCTATTGCTATTGACCTTCAATATTGTTCTTTTGTCGCAAATGACCCTGCGGTAGGACTTTTTTCAAAGCTAACTTTTGGGATACAACTGAAACCAAGGCATAGATTTCAGATGCTGTCTTGTTGTATTTCGAGACGGGAAAAGGACGTTATGCTGCTGTTTCAGCTCCTTGTCCTTTGGATGTGTATCGTTCCTTTTACAAGTTGACTATGAATCGTTTCCAAATACAGTATGTTTTGTGTTTTGAAGTTTGTTTTTGAAAGGGAAATAAGTGGAGTAGGTATGTTTCTGTAATATCGGACAATATGAGAGAAAATGAAACAAGCAACTTGGATGGATATATTCATCGCAATGGTTTGGATCCAGAAGGATTTGCAGAATCTTTAGTTACGCCACATTCGATGAAGTCATATCTGTCTTCTTCTATAAATGAAGAAGCAGAAATGACGGTCATCGATAGCCCAGCTGTTGATCATGAATATGAAGAAACGAATGAAAGATGGAGTTATGTCAATTCTCTTATATCTTATTGGATGAAATTACAAAGTTTTATGATCCGGTTATTTGGTTACTTAGAAGTATCTTCAACAGATGTTCTCTCGCACCATAAATTTACACTTTTTGAAGCTGATAATGTACAAGTTGAGTATCATTATGATATACCAGGAATCACAATATTACTGGAGGGACAAGCTCCTGTCTGGAATCCACCCGAGTGCCTACTTAAGATATCCTCTTCAGGTACCCGATTTTATTATAGTCCTTTTCTTGAGAAAGCCAAATGTGTACTTTTGGAGAGATTTTTCCCTCCTACTTTTGAGAATTTTGAGGTATACTAGAATGATCGGATTTTATAGAGAAACATATCACTAATATCTCTTAGATAGATACCAATTCTACCAAAGAAGGGAGGAAGAGGCGTCACCGTTGCTTTCAAATAGAAATGGAATGCAAAGCCAAAAGCAATCAACCTATGATGGACATTATTTTTCATCCTCGTTATCCTGATAATAATCGACGTTCTTCTGATACTGCCCGAATCAATATTTGGTGTCAAGAATCACTTCAGTTATCACTCTTGTATCCTTATATGATAAGTGTTGGTGAAACAGAAGCGAATTTGGAATTTTGTGCCAATTTCGATGAAGTCGTCGTCGATCTTTTACAAGAAAGCACTTTATCATTGTGCAAGGCCCCTATGTTAACGGTAAGTTTTCGACTTGGGCGTAAGCTATTCTTCTATTTATATACAAAAGGTGGAAGGAAAACTTGGCTTCCCAATGATTTGGAATGGCTATCGAAAATGGTCATTCGATTTTCGTTTGTTATCTTCGAAATGGACTTTTGTGAGAGAATACACAAACGTCATATCAGATATCTTGAGTGAGATGTCTGAGGGTGTTACTTATGATCCTTTTCGTTCTTTTTTGCCTACTGAGTATTTTGTCAATTTTGAACTTAAAAGTGGTTATAGTCTTTATTTTTCCGCTAATCCTCTGAACAACTGGAAGAATCCTTCTCAAATGGATATGGATAATGAATGGGCACTCGAAGCAGTCGGGAATACGTTGAAAATGAAGTTTCATTCACCTTCCAGTCTCTTTCCTATGCCATTGACTTGGGATATGAATTGGTTACTTTACGCTCCGCATTTGAAAGTTTGGTTTCATTGGCCTATTGAACCTGACTTACGAAGGAGACTGGGAAGTTGTCAAAAGATTATTGATGTTTCCAGTTTTGATATTCAGTGTTCGCATTCCTATTGGAATATCTTGGTGCCTGGTTATCAAGATAGAATCAGAGCGGTATTGAACATATCAGACTTGAACTTTGTTTTAAACCCTCATCACTTGACTTATTTAAATGAGTTTCTAGACAACTATTTCGGAGAACATTTATTCGCACATATGGATGGCAGACCACTCATTCAAGAATATTGTAGCAGTATGGAGCAACTTGTAAATGTTCGATCAACAAGAGAAACATCCTTTTTGATGAATATTCATCGATGGAGTTTTTTTGTTTGTGCCGGCATCGATCCTGCTATCAAGGTTCCAAGTTTTTTCTCCTATCTTCGATTGAAAATACCTTACTGTTCCTACTACATGAAGAGTACGAAGAGCTGTACCAGCTTTACTTTGAGTTGTCCAAGAAATATCGAAGTAACTCCTCACGTAGAAAGTGAAAGCGTTGCTGCGCGAAACAATACGGATCATCGAAAGCTGTATTTAAGAGGGGTATCGATTAGTGTGCTTTATCTTTTTGGAAATAACGATGTAGAATATATCAATATTGCTTCCATAAGGCTCGAGTCCTTTTATGGCCAAGTGAGGATGGACAAAGTGCAATGTTTTAGTGATATTTGGAATTGTTTTCGTTTATCATCAACTGAACGGAAGAAAGGTTATCTTCTTCCATTGGAAGCATTGGAATTGGAACTCGGTTCCCTCGACCTTAAATTTTTTCATGAAGATAGCATAGTAGAGTCAGTGGTTCCCTCCGGTCTCAAAGTTGTACTGAGTAATTTGCAGCATGCTAACGTTCGACTAACAGCAAAGTTGGAAATTGGATTGATATTGGTCAGCTTGTGGATACCTACAAGTCAGTTATTAGAAGATTCGGTTGGTGGTAGCAATATTGTGAAGAAAGCTATTGAAAAGCAAGACTATACGGAAGTGGCATCCTTTTCTTCCCGTTTAACAGTAACATTTCGTATATTCGAGAAACTAGCTTCCTTGACTGCCTTTAAACAAATGGAAGAACTAAAGAAAGCCGATTGTTTTCAAATGCGTATCCAATTCCTATGGAAAGAAACCGATGAGCTTTTGATGAATAGCCGCTCACGAAGAGACTTTCGCAAGCAAAGCAACTCCACTTTGGGAGTTTCAAATGAGAATAAGCAGAGCATGTCTCGAGCAGGCAATTCAGACTTTGGTGAAATTCCTGATTCTGTACAAGAATTTTGGATGCAACTTGAGGCAGCAATGAACAATGGAGAGTTGGGAGAATGTGATGAAGAAGGTTTCAATGGGGAGCAAAATTTATCTTATCTCAAATTGGCAGTTCCGGAAAGTATGAAATGCAGTCTTTCTCCTGCTGCCATTCAAACAGGAATAAACCTCATGAATGTTTTTATTCCTAAAAGAGAAGAACATGTGGAGCTGATTATCTGTGACATTTGGAAGGAACATTTGGAACGCTGTATTGCTTCGGAGGAAGATACGGTTTTCAACTATAAGTTTTCAATGGAGTTGCCAGAAGTGAAAGTTAAAATTAGAAAGATGAGTCCTAACAGTTTCTCGTGTAACAAATGTATTTCCTTTTCTTCTATACCCGAGATTTATTTATATTTATCCAATTCCTATTTAAGATGGAATGTATCTGGTTCCCGAAGCAAAGCAAAGGAACTTGTGTTTGGACTCTCTCAAATCCTGTGTGGTATATCTTTGGATGGAGGGTTGGATGACCAGTCCAGAATCATGGAGCTCAATCATATTCAGATTAGGAATATTATTTCCTCTGGAAAGGAAAATGTAAATATGATGCTAGATTCTTTCAGAATTGGAGAGAACATGAATGAATTGGAGTCTTTGGTTAGATGTTGTATGTTGTTTGCAAAGTTCGGCGTTTCCTATTGGGGTGGTGTTCTTAAGAGCAAACCCGAAACTGTAACTGCCGATGTCTTTAGTCTTTGTGTGATTGCTGGAGAAGCTTCCACGGGACTGGTGACTTCAGGTAGACAAATCCGAAAAGTCTTCTTGTCTGCTTTTGCTAGAGTAAAAGCAATGAATCAAATGGAAAGGTCTCGAATGCTTATGCTTCTCCAATCTTCTGCCTCCCGAAATCATCCTTATTCATCTACTGTTGGCAACAGAAAAGTAGCTTTTGAATGGATTTGTCATTGGAATGAGTTTTCATTGATAGTAGAAAATGTTAGTATTTTGGTATGTCATCAAATCTATTGGAAATATTCCTGCTTCTCTGGTCGTAGCATTCTCGTACTTGTGATGAATGAAATGCATTCAAAAGCTGATACCCAACTGGTTACAAAGATTAGTGCTTTTATACGTGAATGTATTCGTATTTGGTATAGTGAATGGTCCATTTCACAAAGGGAGTGGACAGCTTCTGCAGTGGAAAGAATGCAACGTAAAATATTTCGTTCTATGCCAGAAGGAGAATGGATAGATCCTCCTATTCATTCCAAGCAAATGACTGAAGATCCTCCCACAGTTGAGAACCAAATAAGTGATGATGCATTACTTCGGTCGCTGTCTACTGCGCCATTCTTCTTTAGTAGTAGTAGGAGAGTCAATCAGAGGAACAATCTTGTCTCAACTTTTTCTGTACCTTGGGGAACAACTTTACCTGGTACTATTCATTCGGAACAAAAAGAGAAAGATGCAAAAATATCTGCTCAAGACTCAGCCTTTCTATTAAGGTCTCTTAGTTCTTTTGAAGCGAAGACAACTTGGAATGAATTGGATATTCAGCCATCTCTGCTATCAGCAGCACTTATACTCGTGGATGTTATGGTATCCATCGATAAGATAGATTTGCAACTCTCTTCTTCCTCAACAGAAAGCGTATTTGTTTTTCAATCCTATCAAAACGTCACTTATCTTCCCATGTCGCTTGCTGATTCCTTGGAGCACTCTAGTATTTTATGTAGCAGTGAAGAAGTGGAGTGCAAAATCAACGGACCTAATCTAGAAGAGTGGGTAGGAATCTTCATCAGCACTCCACAGTATGTCATTTCATTACAGAACAATGGAAGAAATGCCAATATAGTTGCTTCGATGTTGACTATAGAAAATGTTTCGATGAGAGTAGAATACAATTTCTTTTCAGCTTGGCATCTATTCGGACATGTGTTGGATGAATTGAGAAGTTTAATAGGAGAAAGAGAAGTAGATGCTCGCACTGCATCTTCACAAATATACAATATACCTCCTTTGAATGTTGCCGTTTCAGAATGTAGTTTACAAGTAAGTACTGTATGATTGTTTTCTAGTTTCATTGAAATGACATGTTTATGTATCTATGGAATAGCTTCCACTTAGTGAGAACGACCATAAGTTGCTATACAAAGTACAAGATTTGAGAGCAACTTCTTGTGAACTTAGCCATACGGAAAATATTGTTGTTGTTCGAGTACCTTCTCAATTTATGGAATACTTTGACAAACAAGTGGCTCATGATCTTCTGCAGTTGCCTAGTGCTGTTTTGGAAGCAAGAATAACTTTAACAAGCGATGATAATGATAATGAAGAAAGACTACAAAATAGACCAGTCGTCACCTATTACCGATTTCATTTGGCTTTCAAAGCCATCGAAAGTATGGTTACCAAAGAGCGTTTGAGGGGTCTGAAGAATATCTTCGAATTGTGGAATCGACCTCGAAAGAAAAATTTCGTTAAACCAATGACGGCGAACAGTATGTTGGCAGATCATAGTAGAACAGTAGTGACACGTTTGTTTAGTTTAGGTAAGTGAGATTCTTGTCAAACTTTTTTGTTGGAGAAAACTAAGAAGCTTTTCCAGTCATTTCTCTGCAAACCTTATCACTCAATTCGGAGTTGATGGGAATTCATTCCGAACTATTTTTGGATAATTTGAATTTTGTTTTGAAGACGACCAATATTCCTTATCCTGACATTCATATTACTTTTCGAAATATTGGTTTGGTGATCCGTTCCGCTGGTTCTCTTCCATCGAGATTTTCTATTAATCAATTTCAGTCTCGCATTCGAATGAAGCAATCTATAGACTCTACATTTTTGCATCGGTTACAACTGATTTCATTATCATCTATGAAAGAATGTGAAGTATTTATGGATAAGCGATGTATGACTGCTTTGGTTTTATTAGCGGACGAATTTAAATACTATGAATGTGATGAAGAAGAATCGTCCACAACCGACTCTCTTATGGGAACTGTGGCAGCAGCAGCTTCCAGACTTTGTATTTATATGTTGACCAATGTTCGTATTGGTATCATTCGCATGACTTTTGTTGTCGATAACAGTTATGATATTCGTATCTCTTCATATTCTCCATCATTATCTCTAAGAATGGACAACTTGAAGACTTTACCTCGTTATCGATTGGTATTGACAGGTTCATTTGAATCGGCCAACATTTATCAACAGAACACTCCCATTTTGACGTTTCAAGGTTCTTGTATCGATTTCAGTTGGTTATCGGGAAATGTTGCGTGTTTTGTAGATGTGGGCTCTTATACTCTCTCTCTTGATCATGCCATAAGACTATTACCAGATGCTGCTTCTGAAAATGATTCTGTTATGGGTACCCAAATTTTTACTTTGATTGACCTCGGAGTCAATATTAATGCTGGAGTTGTAACTCTCAAGTCTACAAAGTATATGGATACCGATATTATGGTACCTGGCATGTATTGTAATTTATTTTTAGATGTTACAAGACTTAAAGCTGTGTTCTTTTGTGATTGGGATTATGCCAATATGGACTTTTTGGAAAGCCAATTGGAACATATCATGAAGTGGTTCTTTGATCGTTCCCAAGAAAACTTGAACCAACCAGTACCTTCCACTCATTCTAGAAAGTCTAGTGTTCCTTGGCATCGAAGAATGAAAACTATCGCATCCTTTGCATCTTCTTCTCCTATTACTAGTAGTGGAAAGTGTTTTCAATGGAGTTTGATCGTTCGTCTTTCGAGATCCTATGCAAGGTTGAAGGAAAGCGTGGGTTCTCCTGGGTTGATGATGCTATCTGCTTCAGCTTTTGTTCCCGAAGCTCAATTTTTGTTTAGCCCTGGAAAACATCCCATTTATGGAAAGCAAATCTTGTTAGCCAGTGGCGGTGTTGGTAGTTTGGATATTTCATTGAATCCAGGATGGCACACTGCAAGTCAACTACGATGTATTGGTACAGGGTAAGTTAAGTATTGCATTATCCCTAATCTTATGACAACATGTCCATAGGATTGACTTTCTTGTTGACTTGACCAATAGAACGGGAACTTGTAGATTGAGACAGATTGCCGCTGATTTAGAATTGGCTTCCTTACTCTCTTTGCAAAATGTGTTTCAGCATATTCATTGGTCGTCTACTACTCAACCTACTCATTGGGAAATACAACCTCTTAGAAAAGTTGCTATTTCTATTTGTGTTCAAGATTGGATGGATGTTTCTCACGATCACTATCACCTTCAACAACAAACACCGTTTGTAAAGTTATCTCTTCGCATGGTACAACAATCCAGTGGTTCCATGGAGTTAGGATTCTATCGTTCCTACGTTCACTTTGGGTTCCTAGATGATCGCAACTTTTTCTATTTGAACTGTGCAAGAGGTCAAATACGTTCCACTCGACAACATTTTCATGGTAAGGGTGGATTAGAAAGACTGTTCATCTCGCAGTTATCGAGTCCATCCATTGGTTTCTTGTATTTGGATGTCGACTCATTTTTGTTTCATTTGGCTCAAGGAACAGAAGGAGATACTACTCGAGAAGAAATTTTAAGACTCGCCTGCAAACAGTTTTCTTGGAAAACTTACGAGTCAAGTGATGAAGTCCTTCGACTTGCAAGGAACTCAGTTGACATGGATATATGGATAAAAGGATTACATGGTGCTTTGTGTTCAACCAGTTCTCCGGCATTGAGTCGGTTACAGGAATCCTTATCGCACCTGGTAAGTAATCTTTTTCAATGCTTGGTCTTTTATTGTGTACTCATTCATTTCCGTTGTACAGTTGATGGAAACCAAACGTATCAGTTCCATGGTTGTAGGCAACACGAGTCGCACCATCGGTAGCATTGACACTGATAGTCGTCATTCTACGATGGCTCATGTGATGAGAAAACACAAAAACAAACGACTTGTGATTAACGGAGACCATTTGATGTTGTCTTTGTTCGCTATGCATTTTCATGAACAAGATTTTCTTCGAATGGCTAGTGACCAATATCGAATGACGTTTTTCCAAACGGTGGACCGCAATCGAGGAGAAAATCGACAACTACAAGTACAATTCGATACCTTCCGTATCCAAAGGGAATCTCTTTCAGTATGTCAACATAGGCACAACACAGTCCACGGAATATCTCAACCTTTTTCTTTTTAGGATCCATCCTCACAAGGTACCATCTTAAGTATTCCTAATCCCAATTTAAGATTACAGACAATCGTCTATGCAACCGACTTTTATTATGATTTTGTCACCGACTTTGATGGCCCCGTTCAAATTACCAGTCGCGTTAGTCAATATCGTTACATGCGTCATATTTTGCGACTCTATTTTTCCAAAACACAAACCCATCAAGATTCCCTTGGTCCTCAATTGGTAACGACGATGGAAAGTCGTTATCACGTTCATCGAAAACGACTGTTGTTTCAACCCAAACTCAATGCGCTGGGGGAATTGACACCGAGTCTTGATATGTTACTTTCTTGGTTAGGTTTAGGGGATACGGGTGCCATACCTTTGTTGATATATGAACGAATATTGGACAAATTGGATCAACTCATGTCAGGTGGCACTAGTTTTGTTACGAAAACAACCATTCCATCCGTTTCAGAATAAATATAATTGACTATTTTTTTTGTTCCAATTCCGACTTTAAGGCTGTGTTTTCTTTTCGAAGGTTTTCATTTTCGTTCAATAAGGCTATCAATTGATTTTGTAACTCGGCCTAGTCATCATCATCATCATTTTTTCTCTATCTATCTATCTAATGACTACTTACCAATAACATGAAAGGACCTCGAGTCTCACCAACAGGACCACCACCCAAACCAATACGTGGAGAAGGTGACTGAGGTCTTGAACGAGAAGGCAAAGAAGGGTTACTTGCATGATCTTCCACTTCTTTTACCTCAAAACGTCCTCTACGAAAGGAGGTTGAAGATCTGTTGTTTTCGGTAGAGTGAGAAATACTAGAAACATTGGCTAGTCGATGTGAAGAAAGCTCTCGGACGAGCACAGGAGGAGCTATCATCATCATCATAAAATCCATTCAGTACATTCTCATCTATCAACAAACACATACAAATACCTTCCATCGTTGCATGGGGTTGTGCATGAGATTCTTTGGAAACCAAAGGCAATGGAGGACTATGTTCTTCTATCCATGGATTGGGAGTCGTTCGACCACCACCACTCGTATCGACTACGTTCAATGAATTCCCCGTTGAACGGCTATCTCCAACAGTTGTACGATCATCTACTTCAATTACCACAAAGCGCCCCTTTTTGGTCATCGTTTTGGCATTCTTCTCTTCACTACTTGCAACGATCGAGCTGTCATTTTGCTTCCTTTCTTCATCAGAGTGACTAGCATTATCTTGTGTAGAAAATGATTTGCTATCATGTTTCTCCACCAATTCATTCTTCTGACTACCTTGGATATGGTCCGTTCCCTCTTTTTTCCTATTCCATACTGTCTGCTTATCCTCCTGAGTGTCTTCATTCCAATCGAACGATTCGTTGTGTAAACTTTCGTACTTTTCTGACTTGACCTCGCTTTCACTCGAGTCGAAGTTCCATCCTCCAGCAATTTCATCATTATTTCCACTACCAGCGGTTTGTTTGTTGTTCAATACTTGCTGGACCAGAATTCTCTGATTGCCTGAACGCCTACCTAACGGTGGTGACTTTGCAATAATATCAGCAAGGTTACTGGGCTTTTTAACATTCTTAAAAAACTTGTGTTCTAATAATTGCGATGCCGTTGGTCGTTGAGATGGTTCTTTCTGTAGACATTGGCTGACCAAATCATGAAAAGCTTTGGAGAAACGTTGTCTAGCTGGTCCCTTTAAGGAAGGTGCCGGACCTTGCAAAGTTAATAACAAAACCTATGAAAAGAGCCACAAGTGAGATAACACACTGATATTAGAAAACGACAAACCAAACAATGCAAGTGTTTGCCCAGTTTTGCAAAATCTTTGTCATATAGCATTCAGTTCACATTACATACCTTCATTGGTGGATATTCTGAGAAAGGAGCTCTTCCTTGAGCCAATTCCAGTGCCGTTATTCCATAACTCCAAATATCTGCTTTATAGTCATAACCATGAGTCTGTTCCAATACTTCCGGAGCCATCCAACAGGGGGTCCCTACAAAAGTCTGTCTGATACTACGCTTAAGGCCCCCTTCCACCATCCAACCAACTAAACCATAATCACTTAGCATGACCCGTCCATCCACAGTTAGTAATATATTGGCAGCCTTGATGTTGCGATGTATTTGACCATGTTTGTGGAAGTACGAAACAGCTCGAAGAACCCCATACAAGATATATTGAACCAGAGGCTCATCCATACCTTCTGGAAAAGAGCAATCCATTAGTGACTTGACGTCTCCACCAGCCAACAACGGCATGACTACCCACAAATCGTGCCCACATACGAAAGAAGTGCAATAGGGAACGACGTTGGGGTGTAAAGACAAGGACATAACCTGAATTTCTTTAGATATCTCTTCCAATGAGGTTTGAAATAGTTCCAAGTCCACTATTTTGATAGCTACTTCTTCTTGTAAGCTTTCACACCAACCACTAGTTTGTTGGGTGATTCCAACTTTAGCCCCAAAAAGTTGTAAATAAAACCGGAATCCGAACGTACCGATAAACTACTGCAGATTCCCCTTGACCTATAGGCTCAATGAGTTGATAAGCTTCTGCCGTGTTTGGATATGCTTTCCTGGTCTCCACATGCTGTTGACTTTCAGAAGCCATTTTCAACAAGAACAATCAATTGGTAATTTGTCGATATAGAAATTGGAGAGAAGATTTGATTTCCAAGCGAGTGAATGACGACGATCAGGCAGTTAATAAGAGGTGCCGTAAAGAGAATTCCGCAACAAAAATATAAGAGAAATACTGCTTTACAAGGTGCGCCACAAAAGAGAGGTGTTTGCTTGCGAGTTTATACAACCACTCCCAAAAAACCCAACTCTGCTCAGAGAAAGGTGGCTCAAGTAAAACTGAGTAACGGGGAAACGGTGATTGCGTATATTCCTGGCGAAGGGCATAATCTTCAGGAACATTCAGTAGTGATGGTTCGTGGTGGACGTGTGAAGGATCTTCCTGGAGTACAATATCACTTGGTTCGAGGAGTGTATGATTTGGCACCCGTTGCTAATCGTTCCTCTTCACGTTCGAAATATGGTGTGAAGAAGAAGAAGGAATAATAATATCAAAGCTTCTTATAAATAGGCTTTTAAGTTTGGGTTAAATCTTTGCGATAGATAACCGAAAAGCAGCAGCTAGTGTTTCACTTTGGCCACCAAGAAACCAAACCCAGACCTAAGAAGGCAACTCAAATTTCTCTGCAAATAATTGGAATCAACTATAAATACCGTCTCCAGCTATAGAACCCTGAACAGTCATTGCACCTGTTGAAACACTTGACTGAACGCAATCTTTAGTCAATCAGAATCTCACGAGGCGATATGCTTACTCTATCTGAGTTTTCATAGACCACCTTGACCACTCGGAAACGTATATCTTCACCCTATAAATGTTGAGCCAAAGGTACGACATACTTTTTTGAACCGACACTAACCACGTCTATATGCAGATCATGGCCTTGGTATTTCCAAATCCATACTTGTTCTTCTTCATCAAAGACAGAAGGTTCCTGAACAAAGAAAATGTTGATGAATGTTGTGTGGCAAGTGCAAAGATTCCTAGAAAGTTACCTGCAAGGCTAGCCGATCAATAAAAATATTATTAAAAAAGTCGACTGAAACGTAGAGACCTTCAGAAGAGCTATGCTCAACCCTTCCGATTATGACCTCTCCTACTTGAGGTTCAAACACCAGTAGTCTAAAAATTACCTAAAAGAAGAAACAAATCGGAACATAAAGGTTGGATTGCGAGTGACAAAATAACCTTTGTCCAGGAACCACCGTCTCCAGGATGAAGATAGTCTTCCTCGGCCTTTAGCCAATCCCACAGTCCAACACACAATCCTAGAATACTTATTACGCACAAGGCGTTAACAGACATAAATCAACTTGCCTACGCCAGGAACTATCCTGTTGGAATATTTTCTATGAACTGCATAGCATAAGGCATCAAACTTGGGTAGAGAAAAGCGTTCTGGTGAAATTCTCAAGGTATCTTCCAGGACGGCAAGTTTGAACATTTCACTCTACATGAAGATCCTGTCGCTTGTAGTGAACGATCACTCGCACATATCAAAAGGAAAGAAAATTTGTTGACGATTTGGGAAAAGCTTTTCGTGTCTTGATGAAAGAGGAAAGTCAAGTAACAGCTGTTTTGGGAGTTCAGTGGGGAGATGAAGGAAAGGGAAAGCTTATTGATATCTTAGCTAGCCGATTCGATATCGTTGCACGCTGTCAAGGAGGTGAAATAGCTATTTGGACCTTGTGCACTCGATTCATTTTCTGTGAAATACTTTAGGAGCAAACGCTGGTCACACAATCGTTGTAGAAGATAAAAAATATTCCTTCCACTTGATTCCGAGTGGATTACTGTCTCCTGACGTGACTGCAGTGGTATGTCTGACAACTTGGTTCCAACCTTCTTATGTTTTTGTTCGCTATTGTGTTAGATTGGAAACGGAGTGGTCCTTCACCTAGAAAGCTTTTTCAATGAGATAGATGATTTGATGGCTAAAGGTATCGATGTTGAGGGTCGCATAAAGATATCGGTAAGCTACCTGTTACTACTCTTCAAAGTGTCCAATCAAGTTTTATACCACTGGGTAGGACAAGGCACACGTTCTATTCGATTATCATCAGTTAGTTGATGGATTCAGAGAAGAAGAGAGAGGTGGGAGCAAAATTGGTACGACAAAGAAAGGAATCGGGCCTTGTTATAGTTCCAAGGCCAACCGGTGAGATGTCTTCCTCAAATATCTTGTCTTCTTACTCATTCGTCTTTTATAGTACTGGCATTCGTATAGCTGACTTAAGGAACTTTCAAACTTTCGCTGATAAGTTTCGAAAGTCACTTGCTACCAAGTTTAAAAGGTTTCGAGTATTCGAATATGATCCGAAAAAGGAAATTGAAAAATATTATTATTTGACTCGACGAGCGGAACCTTTCATTAGAGAAACGGTGTCCTGGGTTCATGAAAGAATTAGTAAAGGTCGTTCAGTATTGATCGAAGGTGCTAATGCTGCGATGTTGGACATTGATTTTGGAACGTATCCTTATGTAACATCCTCCAATTGTACCATTGGAGGAGCACTGACCGGTTTAGGGATATCACCTAGAATGGTCGGAAATGTTGTTGGTGTCTTCAAAGCATACACAACTCGAGTAGGAGAGGGTCCATTTCCTACAGAATGCTCTGATAAGAACGGCCACATCATGCAGCAAGTTGGAAAAGAGTTCGGCACAACAACTGGTAGACTTCGTCGATGTGGTTGGTTGGATGTTATGGTTTTAAAGTATTCTATTCTTTTGAATGGATATTCTAGTCTTTGTCTCACTAAGTTGGATGTCTTATCAGAATTTCAATCTATATTGGTTGGAGTAGGTTATCGACATCGAGGAAGACCATTGCATGGATTTCCTTCATCTTTGGAAGTGTTATCCGAAGTCGAAGTTGAATATGAAACGTTCGTTGGTTGGCAGGGTGTTGATCTACACCAAGTTACTAGTTTTGAACAATTACCGGAAGCTGCAAAGACGTATGTCAATCGAATAGAACAACTAGTCGGAGTTCCAATTCGCTACATTGGCGTCGGTCCTTCAAGAAATTGTCTAATAGAAAAATAGACATTGTGTGTAACCGTTCCAATCCGTTCTTTGATACTTTTTTGACGTTTTTTGAATTTGGGTATTGGCCCTTTCCTTAAAGTGAACTTTGACTCTAATTCGACAAGACCATTCGATTCCTTCTCATGCATAAAGAATTAGAACTCAAAGAAAATGTATTGTTTTGGTTTCATATTTCCTTATTCCATTTCAACAATGTTTTCCTTATTTTCTCCTTTGAAAGCATATTCTGCATTTTTGTTGAAGTTTTCAAGTCTAACTAGAAGAGATTCGCATAGCTTCAGTTGGCTCTCCATTTTTTCAAGTTTTCTACCATCGCGAGATAATTCGGAACATACAACATTCCACTTTTGATTCTCTTGTAAAATGTCAAAAGCAGGCTTGAGTAATGCAACCATTCTCTGTATTTTCTTCCCAAAATCAGGATCCAGTCTAGGTATACTTTGCTTCCATTCGTCTAACAATTCCAATTGTCGTTGATTTTCTTGGAAATCCTCCATGATTTGCTCTAATCGTGAAAACAGGTCCCACACAGCAGTGTCATCCAGTTGAAATTGGTTCAAAACGTCTGCATCTAATAGCTCGTGCTCTCGCTGTCCTCTTTCTACTTGTTCATTTAGGTTGCACTTAACTTGTTCGAAATTCATCCAATTCCCTCTAGAAGAATTGCTATATTTCTCAAGGATACCAATAACTTTCCTCATTTCATTTTGTACTTGAAAACTAGTAAGTTCCACAGAATCACTTTCTACATCATCAGAAACCTTTTTTGTGTTCAAGGGTATGTTCCCATCTTCAAGGACATTGGAAAACAGAACTTCCTCGTTTTCTGTCAACCAAGGTTCTTCCCTTAACTGTCGTATGGTCAACATGATGCCGACCACTTCCTCAAGAATAGGCTTGTATAAAGTCCATTGAAAACTTTTTCCAGTCAAAATGGATACTGGGATACGAATATTTAGATATCTGTAAAACATGAGAAGGCCTTCAACTGTGTTTTCCTTCTTTCCTCCTTTGAAAATTTCTTTTTCCAAATTCCATTCAGAAGCTATCCTGGAAGTTGAATGTAAGTTTAAGGCAATAAGAAAGGATTTGCGATTGTCAACTTACCAGTTTGCCAACTCTTTCAAAACAACTTTCGAATCATTAGTCTCAAGCCAGTCTCTTAACGTTTTGCAGTTTGTATCATTGTCGCTCACATTACAGTTGGCTGGAAAGAACCCTGTTGAAAGCAAGCGTTGAGAAATACTTAAGCTCCACTCGTCTTCTGAGGTTATTCTCTCTTCAGCCGCGCCAATCATCTTTTGAAAAAGATTGGAGTCCAAAATTTGGCGCAATAAGGGGAGACACATTAGCATTTTTCTTGTTCATGTTACTTTACATCTAACTTAGCTCTTCAATCAGCAACTTTGATTTTTTAATGTATTTCTACATATGCACTGATAAGTTGCAATGAAACCATTTGACTGATTGGGAGAACAATTCAATTGAAGCTAGCGTTGCGATTTTCATTCGCTTTGTTTTCGTTAAAGTCATAAACTTGTCAGCTTTTGATGAAAACAGCTTTTGTATGCATTTATGGGCCGTTACGTCCTTTGTCACATAAACAAAGTTGTTTATACTGTTTGCAACGTAAGAAGTGGACGATGCAACTTGCTCCGAGGAGAAGCTATGACAAATACATTCCACCACCTCCTGGTTTTCAAAAACTTAAAGATTATTACCCCAGACAAAACTATCCCGGAACTTTAGCTCCAGGGATAACTCCTGATATTTTAACCGTGGAAGAATTGTTAGAGAGTCCCTCGGAAAATCTTGCTTGTGTAGAGTACGATATGGATGAACGTGCTCCTTTTATTCGGGCACATGACGATTGTATATTGGACTGGTTGGCGGAAGATGGTCGGTAGGTTTTCTTATCTGGCAATATTGCTGTTCTTCCCTAACTTTCAGCAGATTGATCGAAGAAGATTGGGATATGGACGATAAGAGTTCGTTTGTCGAAACTGTGGATACGATAGGAGATGCTACAATCGTGGATGATGAAAAAGTATTGGCAGAGTATTTAGGAGAAGCAGACCCATCTGAAGACGAGTATTATTTAGAAGAACTTGAAACGTGATTTCTGCTTTATTAGATTGGTGCCAAGCAGATATGTCTAGTTGTTTTGTATGATAGGATATTTGCAAATTGTTTCGATCATAAAGATTGCTACTTATCAAGTGATAGAGCTGCTTTAAGAACTCGAGTTGCCATTCACAATTTTTGCCAAAGTTCCTTCAATTGACCAAATATCTCATGATTGAAAAGTGCCCAGTTTCTTTCTGTGTCATTTTTGAAGATTGCTTGAAGAAAGTGATCATGATTTTTTTGAAAAATGAGTATTTTGAATGTTTCGTTACTCTTATAGATAGTGCAAGTAAGATAGCAATTGTGAAAAACTGGATTGAGTTAGATATAACATTATATATGTATTTGTGATGATTTCATTTTTTATTTTGATATTTCATCATTCATTGAAAACTCAACAAGGCTATTAATATTTGAGAATTGACTCATAACCCTATCTTTCCTCCATAGCCAAATGGGTTACCTTATTTCTTCTTCCTCCACCATGTGATGATGAGAAGCTCACTATAAGACAATATGAAAACATAAATATCATGTTACTAACAATAAGTGAGAACTTGTCTGAATATTGAAAGGAAATATTGTCTCCATTCGTAGTAGTGAATGACAATATTTATTGGGCGTTGGTAGTTGAAAATGCCTTTGAACTGGGGACAAACATTCAAGTTGTAAAAGTTACAATATACAAATATTCACATACACAATAGAGACACAGGTAAACATATATATATACCCTCCCTAGCGTCTATTCAACTCCTCTCACTTCATTCACTCCGTACGGTATAATGGAGTTGTATACAGTGGATATTGTGGAGTTGTATCGATTACGTGCCCTTGACTCTAGACAATATTTGATCGAGAAACTAAATCTAGATGAAGCCAAAGCCACTTGGTTGCTGTCCATCTTAAAGGTACTACTATTGTATTTTGGCTCATTTCGGTTGAATATTAAGTTTGTATATCAAGGATCCAGAAAAGTGGAAGAATTGGTTTCTTAACTTTACCAACGATGTGAAGCTTTCAGCATCTTTAAGGAAGGAACTTGCATTACTTGTAGTAGAGTCTTGCACTACTCTTCCTTTGGGTTTTCAACAAGCTATACAAACGCAGATGGATGCTGTTCGAAGCGAGTTTGCTTGTGTTGGAAATCTTCTCGAGTTCGTTGTGGGCAATTTCTATTGGGAAGATTGTTTTCAAGAAAACATTAGAGTTAGGGGTATGCAGGAGAGAAAGAATTACACGGAATATCGATTGTTGGACCAGTTGAGCGACAAAGTTACGTTACGTAAAAGACAAAGAAGCAAAACAGAAGACTTGAACGAAGCAGAGAGTCTAAAGAGAGGTAGAGAGTCTCGTAGAGTAAAGTCCACTATATACGGAAAGGATTCTAACAAGGAAGGAACGAGTAGCAAGAAGACGTCCTCAGAGTCGACAATTGCTCATTCAGACCATTTAGTTAATCACGTAGAAAAGTCTTCGAGTAATTTTATATCGGATGATAAGACTACATCCGATAGATATTCCAATGATACAGAAGATAGCTACCAACTGAAAGCTTCCTACAGACGAGATCCCTTTCGAATGGCCGAATTTATAAAGAAAACAAAATGTTTTTCTTGTTGCCAGTCGAGTACCTTTTCATTTTTGAAGGAGAGCAATCAACCCGGTTCATCTAGTTTAGACACCGAAAGGAATGTTGCTACTATTGAAGAACCTGATGATGGTATGTCTTGGCAACCAGAACAGTTTGACGTATTTTCTTGTGTTCCAGATGTTCCTCTTATATATTCAAAAGTTGGAATGAACCAGTGTGGACAACTTTGTCTGGATGAAAATAGCAGTCTATGGAATACTAGCTCTGAAGTAATGAAGAATTGTAGAAGATTAATGAACGTGTACCAAATGAAAGAAACTTTTGAAAATTATTCAAATGGAAACGATTCAGACACCTTAGATGAGTTGATTTCTTCTCCCATTTTGTCCAATACAGAACTTTTAGACTCCAAAGATGAAGGATATGTTCCTCGGGAAGGTTACTCGCTTCATCAAGTTATTACGCAAGAAGTAGAAGCTGAAAAGTATCCTCCTCAGTATGAATGGCAACTTGTAAGAAGTTTCATGTGTAGTATTTTTATGCAAATAGGATTCACTCATTGCAGCCAACATGCCATGGATTTGATGACCGACATGTTACTTGAAAAGTTTCAGAAGCTTGGTAGGCTTTTATGTGGCATGAGAGACTATGACGGCTCCTTTTGTAAAGACCAAGAAATAACTTGTCCCAAACAAGTTGTTTGGTATATGAATAATATACTGGAAGAAGATCCTTTGAAACATTTATTACACTGTTTATATCGCTGTGGTTTTGTATTTAGGGTTCAGGATTTGTTATATTACTACTCCGTAGATTTGCCTTATTTATCCAATACGATTCTACAAGTAGAAAAAGAGTGGAAGAAAAGATTTGAGCACTTAAAGAAATATTCTGAAGAGCCCAATTCATATATTACCAAAGTGAAGTCGAATTCATTTTGTGAGTATGATGTTTCGGAATCTGACGAAAACAGTGCGTTTGGAGAAGATGGACAGTTGGTTGAACCATTTCGTTGTTTTGGATATATAGGAAATAACTCTTATTTGGATATTCTTAAGCTACACTCTCTTCAAGGTTATTTGCAGGTTCCTCCGAAAATTATATTTGCATCGCAGTCTACTAACAGCTTGGAATAAAACAATTATATATTGTGAGGTTTCATATGACTTCCAATGATAGATACGTTTGTTTGCCAATGAGAACAACTACAGTATAATATGATTAAAGTGGATTGGGTATTTAGCTCTCCAAGTTGGCAAGTAAAGACAGACATCATTCCATTACTCTTAAGTGTTTAATCGGAAGAAGAAGAAGAAGATAAACTTTCATCATCGGAATATACTCCTATAAAACTTCGAGTTGAACGGGAACTCTTTTGAGAACATTCTGGAAAATGTTGTACTAAAGTATCTCCAATAGTAAGAATATCCAACAACTCTAGTTTTCCTTTAGAACCACTCAAAGCCAACCAATTCGATGTCTCTATATCTTGACAAAATTGAGTGGCAAAAATAGCTCCTACTCCTGTAGTTTTCCATTCCTGGACCAACTGAGGTCGACTTTCCTTACAATCCCAAAGTCTAAGGCTTTCATCCAAAGAACCAGTAACTAGCATTCCTTTGAAATGTGTGGAGAATGTGCAAGCAGAAACAGCTTTCTCATGAGCCTTACAGGTCCACAATGCAACAGAACGTTGACTTTCAGAGCTTGCCATTCTACTATCGAATAATTCCATTGTGCCATTTTCAAGTGTAACCAAAAACTTTGAGCTTGCAGCACCTTCCCAACTGGTTGGCACCCAACAAACAGATTCCACATCAGAGTCAACAGATAAACGAAAGCTTGGAATATTTTGGTTCACCCGAATATCCAAAAGTGAGACAGTCTGATCAAAAGAACCTGATAAGAGTAGAGTGGGTTCTTTCTCATGCCAACAAACACTTTGAACTTCCTTTTCATGGTGTAGCCAAGTCCGAACACTCTTACAGGTGGTTATATCCCAACAACGAACCGTGCAATCAGCTGAACCGCTTGCCAAAAGCCGTTTGTCGTTTCTATTCCACGATAAACTTAATACAGAGTCCACATGATACTCTGAATCCACTTTCTTTGGTCTTCTCTTAGTTTTCTTTCGGGTAGAGCTCGAAGAAAGTTTTGAGACACGAGTTTCCCCAAGAATGGCAAGAGGTTCCAGTTCATCAACAGCACTTGCATCATATATCTCAATTTGTGGTATAAGACTACCAACAGCAACGCAACTTTGGCAGTTCCAACCATCCAAGCCAGAGATATCACACCACGCTAGCGACAAAGGAAAAGATGGAAGCACCAAATCATGGTGTGGATACAAGTGCGGTCCGTCTTCCGTGTCTTCTATGACATAAAATACCAAAGAAGAAACCTCATCTTCTGTCAAACCGCATATAACTACGGCGTCCGTTTCACTAGTACAATGTCAAAACTACATAAACGAAAGATATAGTACGAACCGATATTGGAGATCTTCCCTTTCTTCCTCATCCTGTTGGTCTTTTTCATAGTCCGCCTGTAATGTATCTTGCTGGGTCAGGCTGTTTAGATCAGGAGCCAACACATCACCGACGGATACAGACGAAGAGTCTGATGACTCATCACTTTCTTCCATAACGGCTTCGTTTTCTTCAATAATACAGCTACTGGAAATAAAGTCTTCTATTTCGTTTTCTTTATTTTGAGAAGCACCACGAGGAACCCAAACCAAAGCAGATATCATTATGAGACCACGTTCACTATCCCAAAAATCCACAACCAAAACTTTACCAATGGGTAATGGGAATATATCATGACTTTCGAATAAGCAATTAAAAGTTTAGTAACAACTTATTTTTATGATATTGTGAAGCAACCAGAAATGATCCGTAGATAGTCTCACATTTTTATTATATAGTCAAACACCAATGCATTCAGCACAAGTCTTTACCGGGATACGTGATATTGAGTACTTTGCTGTCTCTTGTATTCACAATCAACTTCGTTGCTGCACCAAGTCGTCGTCAATCCGAAACGTTGTAGTACTTTCAAATAGATTACAATGTCATTGTTCTTTTATGTCGTGAATAGATAGTTCCCCATTTTATCCAGTTGATAATGACATATCCTTTGAGTTTTATATTTCCAAGGTTGGATCGTTTCCAGTGCCATTAACTCATGAAAATATTTTATGTAACAGCGACCTTTATAGCTTATCATACTTCGACTGAGACGATTATCACAAATAGGAAGACAATAATTGACAGATACACTATCAAGATATATTCATTGCAATCTCTCAGAGCCAATTTACCACACGTTGACACGGAGTGACGAGTTATGAACAAGAAATCCTGAAAATAAAACGACGAGTTTCAACAAAGTCACGTCGAGAATGACTGAAGTCTCGATTGGAACATCACAAAACAGCCCAACGGAGGCTGGTACACAAGGAGAAAGAGTTGGTCACTGTCTTTTCTTCCAAAGAGGAAAGGCTTAAGAATAGTTGTGATATTCTTTATTTAGATTTGTAAATTACACTATAATCCATCGACTTGTTGAAAGGGATCCCCTCTTCGAAGCCCGCCAATCTCCAAATTAGACTTATAGACTGAACGACTTGTCCGTTATTTCCAAATTCAAAATTTGGCGCTATAACTCAAGTACTGAAACACTTTCCTGACCTAGAAATGGAGGATAATAAAGAAAATTTAGATACGTTAGATGATGAAAACACACAAGATACTATGCAGCTTGGAAGGAGTACCAAGCTTACTGAAGATGCTGCAAATACTACCAAGACAATGACAAATATTGCGAGTATACCGGGAGATAAGAAAAGGCGTCGTTCCTACCAAAAAAGGGTATCCTTTGGAGGAAGCCAAGTAAAAATTTTTGATCGAAATGAAGAAGAGTGGAATATAGCAGACGAAGTGCATAACGAGCATGACTACACAGAAACCAACCCACAAATCACCAAACATATTTATAGTTCGACTTTCAACAGTGACAATGCCGATACCATAACTATGCCCAGTCTTTCGACTCTCTTGAAAGACACCGAAGGAGAAACCGCTGAGTGGAAAATGTCCTATGAATATTCAACAGATATATCCAATAGAAAAACTTCAAAGGAAGATAATGACTATTCTGAAGATACAGAAGAATTCGATGATATCACCAACGCCAACAACTCGCTCAGTTTTTTTATGGATGAAGACGTTTCCAAAGCAGCAAAGTTGCCTCGGATATCTATTGGTGACACAACCATATTTCCATCCACTCGTCGTAACTACGATAACGATACAGAGTTGAACTCTTCCAAGCAAGAGAAAAAAGATTATGATCCGTTTGATGCCACATATACCGAGATAACTGAAAAGATACCAAAATTGAATGATCTATTAGGTGAGGACGAAACACTGACTTCCAATTGGGAGAGCGTTCGAAAATCTATCGAAACCTACCAAAATCATGCGGAGGAGGTAGAAGAAGATGATGCTGATGCTAGTTTTGAAAAAATGTACGGAAGAGTCTTCGGTAGTCCCTCTGGCAAAGGAGATGCTGAGCAACTTTACGATACTAAAGAGATGACTGCAGAAATTACAAAGTCCATTCCATCTTTACGCATGTTAATGGAAGAAGATACAACTGTAAGCCTCCCTCGAATGCCAGTAAATGCTTCAGAGTTGAAAAATATTCAACGACAAATACAAATGGATGATACAGAAGACAAGAGAATGTATGAAAAGAGAAATGAAAAAGGCGAAACTAAAGACTATGCAGAACCTTATGAAACAGCGATAGAAGCGCAGTCGGCTGTAGAAGCTCCCAATGAAGAGGACTGGAGCATTTCAACAACTGACTTCAAAAACCTGCTTCAGTCAGAAAGAGATCAGAATGAAGAAAATGAGCTGACCGATACAATGAAGGAAAGCAATCGAGATTATACTTGGCCAGTATCACGACCGCAAACAGATAATGAAGATTGGACGTTTCAAGAAATTGTTCCAACTCAAGAGACAGGCAAGGATGATAGGACACCGAAATTTCGATTCGTTAAAAAACCTCCAGTCTACACTCCCAATAGAAAAGTTCAAACAGAATCGAAAGATAATCGCATCGCAGAACATCATGAACCAAATAGAGATAACAGTACAGTGCAAAATGCGAAACCATCGGCAGTTTACACACCATCTCCTATCGCTGCTTCTATAAATAAGGAAACTAGGACAAACTCTACAATGAAGAGTTCTGGTCAGGACAGGAAACAGTCCGTAAGTATTTTTTGGTTTTGGAAAGTTCAATACTTACAATAATGATAGCTCGAATTTCGGAGAAAATCGATCGCAGCCAACGTCAAACGACTTTCAACGCTACCTTCTACAAGATCGAATACATACGATTCCACACCGTCAAATAATAAGTGGAATGCAGGTCACTGGGATAGTCTTCAAAAACAAGAAGCCTTTGGAGATGATGACGATAGTGAGTTGCATGCATTAACAGAAATATTCATGACAAACGAAAATCCGACAAACAAGAGTTCCACTAGCAGGCAACAAAGTCATAATGCGGTCTCAGAATTTCTTCAAGAAGCAAAAGTTCGCTTCTTAGATAACGTTTCTTCACGAAGACGACAAACTTCGTATGGCATATACACCACGGATGATCGTTCGACTCCTGAAAATGAAGAAAGCAAGATTTTAGCAGTAACAGGATCCTATGGATGGCTCAAAAAGCTGGAAGAACTCTGTGAGAAGCTTGAAACGTCGTGCACTGATACAGAAACACGAATAAGCTCAACGGAAGATACACTCAACAAAGAACCTCCGGAATTACTTTGCACAGTGCTGAAGAAAGACTTTCCAAAACAGCAATTGACTAGGCTTCAAATCTCTATGAAGCGCTTGAAAAATTTCTGTCGACTAGAGGCGCGCTGTAGTTGGTACGAAAGAAGATTGCAGTTTGAAAATGAACTCGCGTCCGAGCTAGAATATTGGATATCTCGTTTTAAGGAAGAGATGCAATCCATAGAGTCCCATATTGAATCGATGCAAAGACTTTCTTCGGAGTTTGATGACATAGCAGAGTCGCAAAAGTTAAGGCTACAACCTTCTCCCCTTCCAGTTGAAGAACAACGTAAACTCGAATCTATTATTGCCTCTTTACAGGAGCAAGAAAGTGTTCGCGAGGGTTTCTTACATTCTATCCAAACTCTCGAGAAAGAAATTATGCACAAAGAAGATGAAAAGCAAAAAATTCAGCAAGAAGGTTCGCTTCTGTCAAAACGCAGACAGTCATTAGAGCAGTATGTGCTTTCTTCTTCAGATGCTGCAAAGACAAATGCGAGGTCTATTCAAGAGCGCTTTGAGTTGTATTGCTTTCTTTTAGGCGTTTCTATCCGACAAATAAGCAAGACGTGCATCGATGTTGTCATTTTAGATAGGTTAAATATGAAGATTGGGTTCAACAATGACAATCACATATTCTGTATTTCGAAAATCGAGTCAAAAGCTTCTGATATGGTCTTATTGAATAATTGCATTGCCCCTTTTGTTTTCGAGTCTTTGGAAAATTTGAAACCCATGCAATTTCGTAATATCTTATGGTCCACGGTTTACAAACTGACTCTTGTGAACCTGATTGAACTGCAGCTGAACTCTATCAAAGGTTTATATATCGTAAATACGATGGAAAAAGGCTTTGGCTTTGTTGTGGAATCATTGTTTGCCTCAAGTAAGCTTGGATGGAAATTCTATGTTCGTTGCCAATGTGAAGATCTATGGCATCTATCTCCTATCGCTTGGGAGATTGAGAGCATTTTTGGACAATGTGAACAATCATCGTCTTTAAAAGACCAACTGAACACACTTGTTACCGAAAACTCTCCTCTCATAGATGGCATGAAGACCGTGAGTCAGTGGTTATCTGAACGAAGATCGTCTTTGAGTCACAACTTATAGTTTTAAACTGATAGAGACTGGTGCCTTCAGTTAACTTTTTCTATCTACCTTGCGGATATACTTGATACTTCCTTTTCATTTGGCACTGTCATTATAAACCTCTTGTCTTTTCGCTCTATAATTCAATTCTGTTCTCTTTGTTTCTCGAACGATTATGCCTACTTTGTTTTCTCTACAAAATTGGAACGCAGAAAAAAGCTTAGCTTTGCAAGTGTTGTATATATATGTCGATTGACGATTATTACGTGGTGGATATAAGGCCAACTCTGCTGCACCCTCATTTACTGTGCCATCTCTACGTGGCCCATATCCATTCTTAATTGCTTTGACCATAAACGGAGCTCCTTTTTTGCATGAATTACCTGTCGCAGCTGTGTTTTTAGCTCGCAATATTGTGTACAGAGTGGCATCCTTTCAAATATTTCCAATACTAGAGTGCTTTTTGTGTCTTTAGATATTGCATAGCTTTCTTCAACATGGACTTGGAGAACACCTTGATAGCTTTACCCCAGAAGACCATCTCAGGTACCTGCAGAATTTGTCTGCAAGAGAGCTTCTTGCCAGATTCAGACCTCATAGAGCCTTGTAGTTGTAAAGGCAGTCGTAAGATACCATTTCCATTCAAGTAGTTCCTAAAGACAAATAACATACTAGTTCGGTTTGTTCATCAGCACTGTCTGGCACAGTGGATACGCTGTGCTCTGTTGACGATGAACAACTTGATGGGTAGATGTTCTGTCATCGTTGAAGCCTTAGGTTTTTCTTTTTCTTGTACAGGTCTACGTGTTCACTGTGAACTTTGTGGTAAGTCTGTCTCTATTCATTCTTTTATCTAAACACCAATAATAAAAACAATGTACAGGTACGCCTTATCGTCTGCATAAAATAAGAAGCAGGGCATTTATGAGAGCCCTGTTCCTATTATTCATGTTCATTGTTGCCGTAGTAGGATTGGGATACTTAATGAAAACAGCTTTGTGGCTCTCAGGAATTGTTCCCGTCACAGCTTCATTCATTACAGTTGATTTCGTGCACCTTTACTTTGGACTATACTTGCTGGTACGTAGCAAGTTGCGGAACACCATGTTTTTACTCATCTTGTGTAGTTTTTGGGTTACTGGCTTTATCAGTGGACTGTTTTTTATGTATTGCCCATACGATGGACTCCAAACACAATCCTATCCACAGAATGTCCTTGGAATGATCAGTATACCGTATCCTTAACATAAAAAAAGCATTTCTTTTCTTTATTCAAAAGATTCTGCCAACTTCACAAGGTCATGAATTTGTCTTATATTTCCAGTGGATATGAGCCATTCACGAAAATAATGTTGTACAGTTCGTTCCAAGTCTATGTGTTCTTGCTGTTGTCTTACCATGTCTCTTAAACAATCCACCGACTTTGCCTTTTCATCTACCGCATCTAAATACTCTTTTGGTAACTGCACTGGATTTTTCTTCGTCACTCCATCGCTATTGTGAATTGGGACTGCAAACGGACAAAGTTGTTCTGGAGGCAATATATTGGCAACTGTACTTGGTGGATAAGAAGAATCCAAAACTACAAAAGGCTCATTCCAATAATTGAAAACAGTAGAAACACCACAACTTTTCATATGCTCTTCTAAGTAAGGATAAAAAGCATTAAAAGGTGCCAACCGAATACCCCGATTGTCTCCCAACAATGCTGGTTGATGATTCACACACAAATGGAACGTCGAATCCACGACATTCGTGATCCTCAAGAACTTGCTAGTGGATACGATTTTGACTGTCTCACAATTGGTAACAGATATACAATAAGCAGCTCCTATAAAAATAATACAATCCGAACAGCCTTCAACAGATACACAGTCCATTCCATTCAGCAAGTAAATATATACTTCTTGACAGTTTCGAATCCGAACAACTCGATGGGATAAAGGTTCTCCTTCTGTGCCCGCACGAAGTATAGTACAACGAGTAAGTTGTGACAACTCCAAAGTTGGATCAACAGGTGAAGGAGCAATGCCACCACTCTGTTGTGCAGTAAGTTTCAACGCATTCCCTAACAACGCACTCCAAGTCTCGATAGAAAGAGGTGAAGAACCATGCCGCTGTATCCATATTCCTATCCAGTCTTTCCAACTTATAGGTTGATGAGCCACAGAGGCTAGAAACAGAAAACTCAAGTGCTTCAAACATTCAGGCCTTAATATATACCATTGGATCGTCTCATTATTATCTTTCTTGTCTCTCGTGTCCATCACATCGCCCACCTGTTGCTCGACTCGTTCTAAAACTTCGTACAGTCGTACGAGATCACCTAAAATAACTTCCAAGTTATTCACAACAAACATAGTTTCTTTGTAAAAGGTAAATGTTCCTCTTTCTAGTCTTATTGAAGAGGAACGGTTGGAATATGCAAAATTGGAACGATTATTCTCATCCTGTGCCAATGGAGAACCTGTCAATGGAGTGTTCTTTGGAAAGACGTCATCCGTACTGGGACGCACGGGAGTGGCTAGTCTTCTTGCACAGGCTTGAAGACGTACAAACACCAAAAGTTCAACAAAAGGAATCCAATCTTGTTCATTTCTGATTTCAGGAGCAACCACGTAAAGAGTGTGGACGATGTGTTGGGCCTGTAACTTTGTCAACGCCAAGTGTCTTTTACATGCATCGTTCCATTGATCCAATTGAACGACCAGTCTATTGTCTACTACAGTTGCCAAGTTGAAAAGTTCTTCAAACACATTGGCCAAAGCTTCTGTTTTCAACATGGTCGAAGTCACCAACGGAACAGTGACACCGTGTTCGAAAAAAGAGCGTCTAACATACAGCGCACCGTCTTCAAAGTTCCACGCTGTTGAACTATTTGATTCCATAACTTTTAGAAAACTAAGAGGGAGAGTGTCTCACTCCCCTTCACTAGCAACTAAGCAAATATGAAGATGCACGATTGCCCCCAATCCTGCATTCTACATTGCTCATCCTCATGTCACGGTGTTGTTTTTCTAACTAGGCATTCAACTGCTTGGAAAGACTTGAGAACCATCAAGACATTCAGTGGTTGTTGTGCTATGTGAATTCTTTTGAAATTATTTGTCGTCATCTTTCCATCACTTCCTAAGGATTTCGAAAACACTGTCTATCTTATCTATCTCCTCCATCGTGGGCTTTTCTTATTTGGCCCGCTCAAATATTGCTTCAAGAAAAAAGCTGATTTACATTTTATTTCCCATTGGTTGTTTTTGAAATGCTGTTGAAAAGCTACAAGAGTCATTCTTTTCCGTTACCAATGCAATATCCAAAAATACTTGGAAACTATGTTAAAAAACCATTATCTCGTCCATCAGCCATCATGATAGTCCTATTCATTGTTCTCAACGCTTTATTCGGAACCTTTCTCATGCGTATCTATTTGAAATCGGCTCATCTTGAAAACCCACCAGTTGACGAAGTCTTAGATATCTCGGTGTTGTGGTTGGCACCTTTTCTGGTACGTACTCAGCTCCTTTGAGTTTTCCAACTCATATATGATAGAGTGGCTCAGGATATGGTGCTGAAGCTCTTAGTTTTATTCAAGGTTTACATAAACATGTCACTCAATTATCGATATATCATTTCGGCGACATCGTCGAAGAAGAATATCTCGCTTCCTTGGGTGAAGAAACACAACAGCTTTTAAAACAACTATGGGCATCCAATGAAACTCTGCCTCGCTATTTCATCAAAAAACAGTATGAAGATGAGGAGATTGCAAGAAAAATAGACAGTCGCAAAAGAATGTTTCCAGATGGTTCATTTATTATGGAGCCTATTTTAAGAAAGTTGCATGATGTTGTCATCGTACAAAGTATACCTCGTGGATGGGAACCTTTTCTCTTCGAAACTGCAAAATATAGAGTGGGAAGAACGGTCTTCGAAACTGATCGTCTACCAGATGAATGGGCAGAACACTGTAACAACGAAGTAGACGAAGTCTGGGTGCCAACTCAATTTAATGTGAAAACTTTTTCAGGCAGTGGAGTGAAACCCGATATGCTACAAGTCCTGCCACAAACAGTTGATACTAAAACATTTTCCGATCCTTCTATAACGCCTCGACCTCGACCACCAGAATGTCTCGAATCAGACTTTATCTTTCTTTCCGTCTTTCGATGGGGTGGAAGAAAAGGAACGGAGTTCCTATTGGAAGCCTTTCTACGTGAATTTTCACCTGACGATTCTACTTGTTTGGTAGTTCTTACAGCAACACACAAAATGAAAACAAATGCAACTTATTATCATGGACTCATTCATCAATTTGCAAATGATTTGGGTATTACTTCAGCTATTCGACCACGAATAGCTGTATTGGAACCTTCTCTATCGAATCAAGATATGCCAGGACTTTATGCCATGGCTGATGCATTTGTATTGGCGTCAAGAGGAGAAGGATGGGGGCGACCTTATACAGAAGCAATGATGATGAATGTACCAGTTATCGCGACCAACTGGAGCGCACATACAGAGTTCATTACTCCAGAGACTGGATATCTCATAGAGGTTGAAAAGCTGGACTTGTTTCCATCTGAAGATGAAGAAATGATGAACTATTGGGGACATCTATTGGCAAGACCTTCAACATGTCATCTTCGTCAATTGATGAGATATGTCAAAGACAATCCCGAAGATGCCAGAAAAAAGGCTGTCAATGCCAAACAAATGATTTCCACTCGATTCAACCAAGATGCCGTAACAAATACTATTCTTCAACATTTGAAGAGAATCAAAGCCAAGCTGACACAAGAAAACGTGGAGAGTATGTTACAAGCTAGAAAGAAGCGAATTATCGCTCAAGGTGCCATTTAGAGTAAAAAATGTAGTAATAAAGATGACTGTTTTTGACAAATTATCACCAAACGCATTTAAGTATTTGTGTTCAGAAAGATTCGGAACTTGCTTCATCTTTTGAGGGTACGAGTTTCTGCATGGAACATAATACCGAGGGGATCTTCTTTTCATTCGCACGTCGCGATTTTTTTAGCTCCTCATTGTACTTCACCAATGACTCTATTGCCTTGTGTCCATTCACGTCCAAAAATCTCTCAGATGACGAGGTACTTGAGGATAAAAAATTATTGTAAGAGTGAGTCTCGTTCACAGAAAGTGTCTGATTAACTAATGCTTCCTTTTCAGCAGTAGAATCTTTTGGGTATACATCCAAAGTCCAACGGAAATCGAGAGCAGCTAAAGGTGTTGGTTCAAAGTTTGGTTGGAAGACAGTAACTGGTGGCAAGTTAGGAACTGCACTGCGTTGTTGGGAACCGGTACGAAGCTCATTATCTGCTTCCGTTCGTTGTGAACTGCCCTGCAGACGTTTGTGAGCTAAACTTGGATCCTGTCGTGTGGCTCTGATAGGGCTCTTCTCAAGCAAATATACAATTTGGATTCCAACAAGGCCTGCAAAAACACAGTTGGCTTGACTCAAAATAGTGATATCCTTGGATAACTGGGTAATTGTTGAAGGTATCTCTTCGGCGTTAGAACGCAGAAGCAAGAGTTCTTGCTTCACCGCAAAGCTCAAGTTAACTGGCGGGATATATTTGGCTAAGTCTTGCTGTGGTCTTCTATGCACCCAAATTCGCAAATAAATTGCCAACTGTTCCGGTTCCAAAGCTCTTACTAATAGCCTTTCACCGTGACGACTTCCTCCCAGAGTTATTTGGTCTCCAGGATCGACGTCCGTTGTTCTCAGCGAAACAAGTGAATAAACGAAACCATTCTCCATTGCTACATGGACATTTCTTGAAACTCTTGACCACTGTAGTTGTTTCAAGAGTCTATCAAATTCGTTCAACATTTCAAAGTCAGGAGGTTGAGCCGCCACAAAGCCACTCATGTTTTTCTCAACAAAAATGGCGCCCAATCTAAACCAATTTTATTTTTTCTATTCATTTCAAACAACTTTTCAGAGATTATTCAAAGTCTATAGTCGACATGATGATGAGATATTCGAAAAGGTTTCCGTTGACTCATTTTGGTCAATATTGTCGACAAGAAAAAAACACCATCCTTGCCCCTCATAACTTATTTGCATAGATAGACCTCTCAGCAACTTTGCGGATGGCGATGCTTTAAAACAAAAATATTTCAAAAAAACTTGTTGCCTTTAGTTTGAAAACCGCAGAAAACTATCACTTGTCACCATTTCAAAAAAGAAGATGGAATGTATTCCTAATAGTATTACTTTTTCTTTTCATTGATCTTGTGATTATAACCAAGGTAAGAATTCATTTTATCACTTTCTCACTTACATAAACAACTTGGTGACTGAACGAAACATGGACTGACTGTTTACAAACGCACTGAGGCGGTGCTTTGACTCTCGATCACATTTCAAGAATCCAACTAAGTTGGTACCACTAAGTGTCAAAGCTATTATAACTGCAACCAACCACGTGATATGAAACTTCAAAATACACACAATACCCAACACTATCCATATTAAAGGAGAGAGATACATAGACCACCAAAAGACCCTGCTATCCACTTTGTTCGGCTTATAAGTTGGATCCTAAAGAGTCATTAATAAGCACCCTAAAAAGCAAGATCGCTTCTCATACTTCCTTAGACTCAAAGCGCCAACGAGTTGAACCATCGTCTTGTACTTCGTTCCACCATCGAAGTCCCACTAAAAGACGCCCTGTAATATTTTTTACAGTCCAAAAGTCAAACGAAACCAACGTTACAGTAATAACAAACTGAATAATAAAGCTGCTGGTAAAAAGACCCAATAAAAGATAGACCAATATCGACACTAGTTTGAAAGCAACTTGAAAAAACAAAGCCATGGGATGGGAACTTCTAGAAAACAGTTGAGCGACTGCCAATGACGAGCTGTTATTTTCCGGTTCTTCAACTTGAAAGGTACTCACAGGTAAAGTAGTCTCTTCGTTCATTCCTCACCCAATCTTATAAAAGTCGAATTGTTTTTGGAAATCTTTGAAAAGGTCTTAGAAACTTGGTTGCACTCCCTCTTCCCTAGTGAAATAGAAAAAGTGGGAGTGTTGATACTGTTGTGAGCCACTTGTGTGGAACGTTCTCTTGCGTCTCAATTATTGAAGTGCAATGGTATGTAGCCTTGTTGAGGAGTGAGTGTAAAGAATTCTAAGCAACATGTTTCCTTTAGCCTTCAAAGTTGGAAGTTTCTAAAACGTTTGAAGCGCGTTCTGAGCGAGTCAAGTGTGTTGATCTCCATCCGAATGAGCCTTGGATACTAGCCTGTTTGTATGATGGAAGTATTATTGTATATGAATACAACTCCGGAGCGGTTATCAAGTCCTTCGAAACCGTAGAACAACCTGTTCGTTGTGGGAAGTTTATAGTACGGAAGCAGTGGATTGTAGTTGGAGCAGATGACTTGCAACTTAGAGTATACAACTACAACACTATGGAAAAATTGAAAACTTTTGAGGCCCACGTGGATTATATAAGAAGTCTAGCCGTACACCCTTCGCTACCATATGTACTTTCAGCATCCGACGATATGCTTATCAAACTGTGGAACTGGGAAAAGGGTTGGTTGAACACGATGGTGTTTGAAGGTCACTCGCACTACGTGATGCAAGTTGTTTTTAATTCTAAAGATCCGAATACTTTTGCATCTGCCTCTTTGGATCGAACTGTTAAAGTATGGAATATTTCTTCGTCGGTTCCCAACTTTACTTTGGAAGGCCATGAGAAGGGAGTCAATTGCTTGGATTATTTTAGTGGTGCAGATAAGCCATATTTGATATCAGGAAGTGATGACAGAACAGTCAAAGTGTGGGACTATCAGACAAAAAGTTGTATTCAAACTCTGGAAGGACACGCCTACAACGTATCTTGTGTGGGTTTCCACCCTACGATGCCTCTTATTATGAGTGGCTCCGAAGACGGTATGATTATGATGTACAACTCATCAACTTATAAACTGGAAACCAGTCTGAACTTTGGTTTGGAACGTGTTTGGTCTTTATCCTATGTGAAAGGTTCTAACAAAGTAGCATTTGGTTTTGACTTTGGCACTGTATTAGCCCAAGTTGGTAAGGATAGACCTGTTGCCTCGATGGACTCTTCAGGAAGAGTTGTGATTGCCAAACATAGCGAAATACTCACAGTAAACTTGAAGAGTGTGGATTCGATGGTTATCACAGATGGAGAAAGACTACCTATTGCTCCGAAGGATATGGGAAGTTGTGAAGTTTTTCCACAAGTTATGTCGCATAGTGCCAATGGTCGATTTGTAGCTGTTTGTGGTGAAGGCGAATATATTATTTATACTGCTCTCGCATGGAGAAATAAGGCTTTCGGAAGTGCTGAATCGGTATGGTTTTACTTGAATAGGCCTTTTTCTATTTCTTAATGTTTTGACATTAGTTTGTATGGGACAATGGTGCTGGCTTGTACGCAATTCTAGAAAGTAATGGAAGAATACGAGTTTTTAATAAAATGTTTAAGGAAGTCAAGGTAATGAAGCCATCTTATACAGTAGAAGAAATTTTCGGAGGTGCTTTGTTGGGTGTCAAAGGAAGCGATTTTGTGTGCTTTTATGACTGGAATTTGTTACAAATCGTGAGAAGAGTAGATATCAATGCAAAAGGAGTTTTCTGGTCAGATTCTTCGGAGTTTATGGCAATTTCTGGTCCAGAGGCGTTTTATATTCTGAGGTATTCGAGAGACGCTGTCATGAATGCAATAGAAACCAATCGAGGTCAACTTGGAGAAGATGGTGTCGAAGATGCCTTTGAAGTCATTCAAGAATATCAAGATCGTGTTGCTTCTGGAAGGTGGATTGGTGATTGTTTTTTGTATACTACCACAGATGGGAAACTTAAGTACTTGGTTGGTTCTGAGGTCTCCACTTTGGCACATATCGATAGTCAATTGATATTGTTGGGATATTTACCTTCCGAAAATAGAGCGTATCTTTTAGATAAGGAATGCAATATTATTTCATATCAACTTCTTGTATCTGTATTGGAGTACAAACTTGCCATCCTTCGTGGAGATGAGAAAGCAGCAGATCAGTTTCTTGAACAAATTCCTCCTTCAGAGCGTACTAAATTGGCACATTTTTTGGAATCTCAAGGATGGTTAGAAAAGGCTCTCGATTTAGCAACGGACCCTGACTATCGTTGTGAATTGGCTATTAAGCTTCGTAAACTGCATGTGGCAGTGGAAATTGCCAAACAGTTTCCTTCAGAGTCCAAATGGCGACAAATCACAGAACTGGCACTTTCATCTGGAGATATCAATTTGACCGAAGAATGTATGAAGGAGTCTGGTGATTTTAGTGGTTTGTTAAGCCTATATTCTGGCAAAGGAGACATCGAAGGAGTCAACAAAGTGGCTCAAATGGCAATAACCAGCGGAAAGTTAAACTTGGCCTTTCTTTGTTTCTTTTTAACTGGTGAGACACAAAGTTGCATTGATACATTGTTAAAAGCAAAGAGATATCCTGAGGCTGCTCTCTTTGCAAGAACATATGTGCCAAGCGAAATGACGAGAGTGGCACAAATGTGGCGTGAGCATTTAAAAAAGGAAGGAAATATTCGCTTGTCCAATTTGATCGCAGATCCTGTTTCGCACCCTCATTATTTTCCTGAATATGATGAAACGTTACAATTGGAAAGGGAAACCAAAAGCCGAATATCCTCAAGACTACAAGTTCCACCTCAACGATGGAAAGAATATGAAGATGATGTGTTTGTTCCTCTTTCTTCGTTATTGAATCATATGGATAAGTTGCGAGTTACCGATGACCTTGCTGCATCGACTGAAGCATCTATTGGAGACGATTCATTGCTGCGCACGGATATAAACACGGAATGGGATACAAGCGAAACCAATGCTTCGGAAGAAGATAATCATTTGCAGAATGATGAAATGTGATAAGGTTTCGTAGTCTCATTCGTGAAAGTTATTTGATCACAATAAAGGCATTGAATTTTGCTCCTATAACGTGAAATGTCGTCTACCATGGATAAAAATGAATTTCAACACAAAATTATAGAAACGCAGAAACAATGCTTGTGTTTATGAAAAGAACATTAAACTAGATTCATTTACCCCCTCCTTGGCAAAGATTTCAAAGTATTGATATATAATAGTAACAGCAAGCAAAATACCAGTGCCTGAACCAATAGCTCCTAAAAAGTCTGCCATTATTGTTAACAGTCCGATACAAAAACCACCAAATGCTGCTGCAGTAGGAATATAACGATTAAGTTCCTTTACCAAAGATGTTTCACGATGACCCTTTAAAGTCATCTGCTGATCTTTCAACTGACGCGCGACATCTTTGGCTGATGATCCTGATACTTCAATCCAGATTTTTGAAAATAATGCACATGCTGAAAGAATAAAGGCAAGATAGGTAATGGTTCTCAAGGGATCATATAAAGCTGCTGCAAGAGAAGGAGGTCTAGAAATGTAGTACACAATACCACCGATGGGAAATAGCTGGGAACCTCCTACTGAAGCCCATTTTCCAAATATACGAACAAAAAGGTTCCCAGGATAGTTGCGATAAAGTAGCTGACTGATAAAATAGATGTTGGAAACCAATGCCGTCTGCAGAATTATCGGTGTGTTAGAAGTATAAAACAACTTAATCGGGTATGTTCCTTGTTGGCCTCGAACACGGCTGCTTTTGACTGGAAGATCGATTCTAAATCCTTGCAGATAAATAACCACTGTAAACACGATAAAAGTAGAAAGTAAATTGGTCAAGTTAGGAAGCTCGGGGCGTGTAAAGGCTTCTTTTAATGCCTTGAATTTATCTTCTCTGGAAACCAACAAATGAAATAGTGCGATAATAGCTCCTTCAAACTCCATACCCTTTCCGAGATTAACGGTTGCGGGTGAAAATGCTGCCCACACTATAGACTCGCATATATTCGTAGCAATAAACAAAGATATGCCACTTCCAAGGCCATAACCTTTTTGCAAGAGTTCATCGAGAAGCATAACGATAACACCAGCCGTGAACAGCTGAAAAACGATAAGGAATCCATTCAAAAAGCCCAATGTTCTCAAATCGCCATACATTCCAGACGCTACATACGCAACTGCTTCTAACAAACCGATCAGGATAGCAACCAATTTTTGGGCAGCTGAAAAGAGTATTCTATCTTCCTTCACGCCCTGGTCTACTTGAATCAGCTTTGCACCCGCAAGTAACTGCATAATCATGCTTGAAGTGACGATGGGGCCAGTACCCAACTCCATTAGCGTCCCTCTATTAGAAGCGGCAAGTACCACTCTCATCCAATAAAAGGGGTCTGAAGATTTCGAATTCTTAAAGCCATAGACAGGAATTTGACTACAAACCAAGTAAACGAGCAAAGTAAAGCAAGTCCATAGCAGTCTTTCACGGAAGGGAACCCTTTTTGCGGGCTGTTCTATTTCTGGCAATATGGGAAGGAAAGGCCTCACCAAATGCAGCACACGAAATCCCATATTAATAAAAGTTAAAGCCTTGTGAAAAACTTTGAGCTAAAAAGTGCGCCAAACGGGTGACTACCTAAAACACTCGTCCGTTTTGGATAGGGCTTATCCCTCCTGATTTGATAATGTCTCTTCGGGGAAAAATGCCAAATGGAAATAGCGCATTAACGTCTCATGCAAAGTTTTCTCCTGTGTGATATATTTGCCGATCTTTTAAAGCTACGTCTCCTATTATTTTTGTATTCATTTTAATTGAAAGATATATTTACTTTTGAAGTAGATATTCTATATGTATTTGGGGTCTTTTGAGTCCTTGTCAAATAGCTGTTGTAGAACATGAAGAACTATATTATAGCTCTATGATACCCGACAAAAGCTGACGAACAGTTAACACTTAAAATGTTATACTAAATAATAAGTGTTGTTTGTATGAAAGAAAACATGTCTAAAGCCTATGGAGGTTTCCGTAAAGGTTTTCATCATGTTAAAAATATCCCAATTTCAAGTAAATATCATCACGAGCTATTATTTCTTATTTATGATCTCCTCACTCTCGGAATGCAAGTCGGCAACAGCACAGTAGCTTCTAAAGACATACTGGCAAAGAAAGACAATATGGACTTAAAAAGTTATTTCCATGAAACGTGTGAAGCTCTGTGTTCGAAACTCTCAACTTTACAACTCTGTCTGGGATTCAAACAGTCACCCGTAAAAGACGACGCTAGTGAGGACCTTGCCAGCAATTTGGAGTCTGTTGTGGCTGCACTCCAAGATTTGAAAGATTGTATCTTGGAAATGAGTAACCTATCTACTGACGAAGTTGTCGATTCCAACCAGCAGAGAGAGGTATGTCTGAAAGTGCAAAGTCTTTTCCATTTTTGCTTATGTTTTGTGAAAGCTGGAAAAACAACTCGTTGACGTCAAGGTCTTACTTGCCATAGCCTTGAGTAGAAAGGAAGAGTTGTGTTTGTGTTTGTCAGGTTTGAAGAAAAGACAGGTATTTCTTTTTAGAGTTCTTCAATTAAGCTCCTTATCTTGTTTTTGCAGAGCCAGGATGGAAAGAGTATTGGTAATACTAGTAGTTGGCAAGTTTTCGGTTCCTTTAAGGGCATGAATACAGAAAATCAGTTAAAAGACGACTTTTCTAGAAGAACGGTAGGTTTCCATGAGACTTTTGCTCTTGTTTTCTAACTACTGTCTCTAGAAACTTGCGGAAGACAGAGTTATGGCTGCACGTGAAGCAGTGAACCGTACCAGAGGTATTGTATTCTTTTGGAATGACTTTGTCAAGTTCTAATAACATTTTAGCGCATTTGGAAGAGCTTCAGAAAGCGTTATGCAAAGAGCAAGAAAGAACAAAAGAACTTATGAAATGTCTCGATGATTTCGAAGAAAGATGGTGATTTAGAGACGACACATACTACTTATAATTAAACATTGTGAAGAATATGTGTCGTAAAGCCTTGCTTCAGGCATTGCAGCTATATTTGCATTTTTGATGGAGTATTTTGAGTGAAACAGATATTTTCATGATGTCAAATCCTTTATATAGTGGTTTTTTGACTCTATTGCCCTGCTCGTCTTGGTTGTATCATGTTCGTATCCTACATATTCTCAAAATAGAAGAGACTTTGTTGGGAATCGACTGTCAAAGGGCTTTCAGATAATCAAGAATAATCTTTTCTTATTCTTTTATATATTGTTTACCTCTATCGTTTTTTCATGGTATTTCATTTAAGCGTATACAGAACCGCTATATGTATGAAAACCATAACCAGCAGTAATAACATGTACCCCTGAGGTGCTATTTCTCCTAGTTGCTGTATACTTTTGTCTGCATTAGTCCTTTCAAAGTTATTATTTATTAAAAATACTCTCCAATTATTTGCAAAAGTATAGCTAGTTTGAAAAAATTCCAATTATTCTTGCATGGTGTTAACCAAGTCTTGGCCTCTTTTAACGTCATAGAGTTGTTTTGAAGGGTACACAAACTTCGATATCTGGTTAAGCAGAAAAGACCCAAGTATATTCGTTGCTTTTATACCATAGACACTGTACGAGTATTTCGAATATAACATATTAGAGGTAGTTTTGCGAGAAAAACGTTTTGCAAGTATAAAGGTCTTTGTTTCGAGCACAGCACCAGTCTTTCGTCTCAAAATTACGGCCTCCGTGAAAACTATCCACCGGTTATGACAGCCATGAAAGCTCAACTTGGTACAGAGTGTAGACCAACAACTTAGCTTATAACCTACTTCAAAGATGCAACCCTAATATTCAACAGTATATGTCTTCCTATTTGAGCACGAAGCCGTTACCCTAGCCTCGTCCTGCGCAACCATACATTTTATACAGACTCAACTTTTTATACTCAGTCTCTGTAGTTAAACAGCTTCTCACCCACAAAATCAACCTTAAACAGCACCCGAACCATTCTTTCTTGAAAAGAAATCTTGAATTATTCAAAAAGACGTTGTGAAAGTAAAAACATTTATCTCCCGTGTTGAGAAAGTCGAACATGCCTAATCCAAACTATTTTCTAGAAATACGGATATCAAATGTTAAATTGGGCTCTTGTCCATGTGGACAGTGAAGCTGCAAGGAAGAAGTGAATATAGCTCCATTGCAATTGTTCTCTTTTTGAAAGTAACAGGCTCGAAAAAGAACATAGAATAAATTTCATATAGAACAGAGCACGTTTAGGTGGGAAATGGATACATTATCTTGTATCAGAGTCTATCCAAACAAAGTATTCAAAACACGACAAGTCTTGTTTCTTTAAGCCCATTATTATAGGGGTGGAGCTTTCTTTAAGAGAATTCTCATATTTGGTTGCGGAATGAATGTATTTGACATCCTATTGGGGAGTTTGTATCACATGGGCTCAGAAGAATTGGGCATTTGTAAGATAAAATGCTTGCTCATCTTGAGCTGACAAGAACGGAAACAAACCTTTTCACTGAAACCATCTAATACTGGAATTCACTAAGTTGAGCTATTCATAAATTTAAATAAATATACGCTTAGTTGTATATTTCTCTGAAGCAATAATAAAAGGGAATACAAACCCTTGTTCTGTGTATAAGAAGCCATCCAGCTACTGATGAATGCTATTTGAGAGTTGTGACGTCTATCAAGATGCTTAAAGACGGAATCGTCTCTATACTATTTTAAAACTAGGAAGCAAAGTTATCATCAAAGACTACTTTTGGATGACCAAAAAAGTTATAGGCTTATAAAAACGCGCACAATTTAGGGAATGGCTCATTTTTTCTGGAGGCAGTTGTCCGGTTACTGTTGGAACCAATTACTCCGACCATTGAAAATTGAAGCCCATTCCAGGCTTCCTCACTTTTGCTGTCCAGATTTGACTTTGAAATTGTCTCCCAACATCGGTTCGGTGAAGTCAGTCATCGAGAAAGGAACCGTGAAACCCGCAACTAGTGAGCACCTATATAAAGTTTAGTTGTTACTTTCAAAGAGGAAAATTTTGTAAAGTTGCAAGGTTCGTACCGTGTAGTATGCAGAGTGGTGACCGTTAGGCGTGTCGTCCCCCTCTACCGTTCCTTTTCCTTATTTTTCAGGTCCTATCTTTCAAATGGAGGAATCTTTGGGTTTTAAGGCAGATGAGCAAGAGTACAACGCGGAAAGTGACCCTACTGGTCGCTATGTACGGGTAAGCAGGCAACTTTTCACTTTGTTGTCGTTTACAAAAGTTATCTAGTCAAACGTGGAACTTGGAAGAGGAGCCTATAAAACCGTTTATAAGGCTTTTGATAGGGTGGAAGCTCTAGAGGTGGCTTGGAATAAGCTTCACGTGGAACGTTTTGCGAAGAGCGATATCTACAAAGTTTTGAACGAAGTGGAACTGTTGAGAAAGCTGAGACATAAGAATATTCTTGTTTTCCACGCAGCGTGGCAAAAAGAGGACCAACATGGAAGAGCTACTTGTGACTTTATAACGGAGTTGATGACTTCCGGAACCCTTAAGGAATACATAAAAAAGGCTCAGACTATCAAGGTGAAGGTTATTCGCCGATGGGGTGAAAACATTCTGGAAGCCATTGAGTATTTACACTCCCAGAATCCACCTATCATGCATCGTGACTTAAAGTGCGATAATATATTCATAAACGGTAACACGGGAACGTTGAAAGTTGGGGACTTGGGCTTATCAGCAGTAAGGGACAAGCCTATGGCCCTTTCCGTTTTGGGTACCCCGGAATTTATGGCACCAGAACTATATGAAGAAAAATACAGTGAAAAAGTAGATATTTATGCGTTTGGAATGTGCTTATTGGAAATGGTTACTATGGAATATCCTTATAGTGAATGCAAGAATGCTGCTCAGATTTTTCGAAAGGTAATGAGAGGGGAGAAGCCAAATGCCTTTAAAAGGCTAAAGGATTGTGAAATTAAGAGAGTCATTGCTGAGTGTCTTCTACCTGAAAGACAGAGACCAAGTGCTTCCGATCTCTTACACTTGGATCTCTTTACAAAGTGGGAGGAAGACGATGGCGTGTTGGATAACCGTTCTTTAATGTGTACAGAGGATGAATTGGAGAAGGCTTGTTCAGACCAAATGGAAAGCTCGTTATCGTCAGTTACTGGTTTGTCGAACCGAAGTAATGAGCTCCAATCGGAAGGAACAGTGGGACCTTCTACTCAGAAAAGCGTTAAAGAAGACAAGCAAGACGAAAAGAGTGAAAGCAGGTTGCCTTATGTTTCTTCCCATAGCGAAGGTGCCAGTATGAAAGTAAATGGCGATTTAGCCTCGTGTGCCAACCGTAACCTGATTTTCCATGGTGATTCGCAGTTTTTAAGACCAGTTGGTAATCCCGCTGTTGAACTTCTTCGTCCAACTACGTCAACAGATGGTGTCTTTCGACTTTGTCTGCAAATTCCTGTCGAAGGCTCCTCGAAAAAAATAGAGTTCGATTTTGATCCCAGGAATGATTCTCCGGAATCGCTAGCCGAAGAAATGGTGATTGAGCTGAACCTAAACTCATCCCAGTTGGAATCTATCAAGGAAGAAATTGAAAATCAAATGGTGAAAATCCTCCATAGCATCCCTTCAGATGAACAGTCACAGAGAATGCAAGATGAATCCTGCAACAGTGAAAAGATAGATGCGCAAAGTCAAACAAATACTGCATCAGAAGACGCAAGTTGTCATATCTTTTCTCCTCGAGACTCTGGAAAAGAAGTGGTTCCGATTGTTATTGTCGGTCCAGTTTTAGGGGAGAGTAATGATGATAACGACTCGGAGTCCTCCACGTCATCATCTGTTAGAGATGAAGCTGTCGTTGTTCACAAAAGTCGGAATGTGTCCCCACTGTCTACTTTGCATTCCAGAAGAAAAGCAGTTAGTGACGGAGAGAATAGTTTTGTGCAACCCACTTTAAACGGTACTATCTCAAGGGATAGTCGTTCGTATCCTCTCTTTATGGAAGATTCAGATATCGAAGATGTTGGCTTAGGATTTTCCTTGATGGAGGCTGTTGCACGTAACGACAGTTTCGAGGTCCAGAGGTTGCTTGACAAAGGTGCCCCTGTAACTTATTTTGATTATGATAGGCGCACTCCTCTCCATGTCGCGGCCTCCGAAGGAAATGTGGAGGTTGCGAAGCTCCTTGTTGAAAGAGGAGCTTCAACAGAGGCTAGAGATAGATGGGGATCAACTCCGGTATTGGAAGCTCTGGTAGCAGGCCACAAGAGTTTGGCAAAAATGTTGCGAAATGCGTCGAGACCACGTAGTTGGCTCTCTAGTTGTCCATCTTCTGCACGTTCACAGATGAGTGCCAGTCCTGCTCGTAAATCGCCAAATAGCGCTCGTACCCCACGAATTGATAGTTTGAATTCACAACAAGCTATGAGTGCAGAAGATTTGGTGAGCATTATGTACGGACAAGAAGCATACCCTAGCGATGAAACAGAGTCTATTCGAGCTAGTCACGATAGTAGTACATCCGATGATGGTTCAGGCAATATTAGTTCACCATATTATATTCGAAATAACGAAATATATAGCGGGCGCAGTGATACAAAACGTCAGCAAAATGCGCTGACAAAAAACCTTGATGCACTGAATATTGATCTGGAACATCTTCCTTTGCATCAAAGTAAGGAAACTGATCCGGATTCGGATGAAGAAGAGGAGCTTCGTAGACTAGAAGAAGCATTTCTCAAGGAGCTATTAGAACTTGAAAGAAAGCGGCAACAGGCTATTCTTGATTTGCGACAGCGCCTTTCGGAGAAGAAAAGAAGCAGCTCCGCATCTTTAAAAGATTTTAACGTAGAAAGCTATTCCAATCACTAGAATTTGTGGATATCGAATAGTATCCCCCCTTTCTTTTTTTTGTACTATCGGTTTTTGTCTGTCGACTAGTAGCAAATGAAAACGTTCTACAACCTGTAAAATTGGTTCGTCTGACTTCATATTGAATGCTTTCTCTCTGTAAAATATTCGCTTCCATCTATAAACAAAGTTATACAACGATAGATAACACTGCTAACATGCAGGTACAGTACACAGGTACTCACAAAAGTGTTCCAGTTTAGAAAACTGTTTGCTTACTGAATAACTGTGCAAAATGCTCCAAATGATATAGCACTTGATGTGACAAAAACTCTATGAGCAAGATAACCTCTTGAACCTTGTCGACGTTCAACATGGAGATATTAAACATCCATATCCTATTGTAAAAACTTCATGTTGACGAAACAAGTCAAAAATAATATTTTAACTAACATTACTCTTTCTTTATAAAAAAAATTAATTACTTTTAAGACAAAAAAATTAATTTTATTATGAACTGCGCCATCAAGGCACGCTGACAAAAAATTAAAACAAAATTTAGGTTGCGACGAAAGCAGCTTTGATTTATCTGTAAAAATTAATTATTGTTGCATAGCGTTGTTCAAATCGGCATACAGTCTCATTCTTTTTAATACTGTATAATTAGGTAAACAAAGATTTAAAAAGGGTCCTTTGCTTTAACAAAGCTGTGAATCGAAAATAAAGTTTTTGCGATTACCACAGGTGATATAAAAATTAAACATTTAGAACACTAAATTCGAAATTTTCGACAATAAACAGAAAACACGATATTGTGTGGTTATTAAAGATGAAGCTCTTCACAAAAGTAGTTTGATACTTCTTTTTGTTTGCAATGAGCAAGCTTTATATTTTTTAATTTTCATGATTCAGATTTGGAGAAGTTCTTAGGTGGTGGTGGCATAGAGTAATTGTCGCGTTTAGTGTCGAGGCGGTCGAACGTTTTTTTTTTCAGTTGCTTTATGCTTGAAATGGGTCGTCGATGCTTTTATTTTTCTTCTTCTCACATTTAGATTGAACAATCACGCTACTGTATGGAGACCTTATACCATATCTATCGCACTTAAGACTGATTTGTTTGTTTTACTGCAAGTTTCGGCCTTTAACCAGAGAAATTTCATAAACTTTTCTGCTTTATTTCTGAGGCCATCTTTTGATTCAATACATTTACTTAGAACTCATCAAGATTACTCCTACTTATCTAAAAGAGCTGAAAGAACACTTTCAATTTTTCTATCCAGATTATCCCTTGTTACCCATGTTGGCGACTCCTTGGCAAGCTTTTCTGCAACTTCTTTTCTCTTTTGTTCCATTTTGATATTGAAGTCGTTCATGTGCAAACCACGTTCTCTTTCATAATGTTCAGGACCCAGCAACGAATAATCGGGGTTGAAAGTCTTCACGACAAACTGTTTCTTTGCAATAGGTGCCCTTTGATGTCTTTAGGAAAAATTCCACGAAAAAGCGTCGTTAACATACCATCTATAATACAGATCTTGTTGGGTTGGTTCTCTTTTGGGCTTCGGCTTGACTCCCTCGAAACGTTTCCCCAAATAAGAAGCTGCCAAACTCTTTCTCACCTCTCTCAGCTTTTGCCGAAAAATAACTTTATCGGTTTCTGTTTCAGCACAAGCGTCAAGGGACACGTTTCTCCCGTATATTTTTGTTATTGGTTTATGTTTGCACGGAAAAATTCTCCGCGTGCTACAAGACCACATCGATGTGAAACGAAAATTAATCTTCCATCAAAATACGTACACTAATGAAATAAGAATGAATTCATACGTAAAGTTGATATTCTTTCATGATGAATGAATAAAAGACACAATAGAGTGAATTCATGATAAGATTGAACTACGATAACATCCTGTCATGATGCTTCAACGCATTTCAAGACGGAAGATGGTCTCTATTCACGCTTTCACGAGTCTGCCCTATATGCTGTAGTTTATTGTTTTATACAACTATTGAGACTTCTTTGTCTATGGTTCAATCTACTTTATCAGGAATACGTTTTGTTAGTCCCAGTCGGTGGGAGAGCCCTCATTTGCGCCAAACTCAGAAAGAATCACGTAAGGAGAGAATCAGACATAGGACGTTTCAAAAGTGCCTTTCGTTTTTGATAGTTTTTTGTTTGTCCGTTCTTGTTCGTTTGTTTTTCGAGTGGAAACTAGTCACGGACATAATCATTTTGTGCTCTCTTTCAGGGTTTATGTTGCAACTTGGCTCCCTGCTTATCCCACGAAGAAAGGTTGATTCTCCGAAATTAAATAGAGGAACAACAACGAGGCAAGTGGAATCAGTTTCTCAACCAACCCCTCATAGCACTTCTCCATCGGATTGGAAACTTCCATTGTCAGTAAGGGAAACTGATAGCTTTTCACCTTTTTCTTTTCGTCTGGAAAATAGTCCCACAGAATATCTGAAGCCTTATCATTTGGAAACGAGTGTTGGGTAAGCCTATTTTTATAGTATGACTAATCTTATTTTACCTTTTTATCAGTATCGATTCACCTGGACGAGAAGGGAATGTAGTATATCATTCAAGTCATTCTCCTATCCGTCGTACATCTGTTTTGCCGTACTTTCATTCAGTTTCTCCTAGTCTATCAGAAGATACTGCTGTTTGGTTAAAGTACCGTACTTTATCCGGATATCCTATTACCAATGAAGATATAGAAAGATGTCGAGGATGGATTGTCCAAAGAGTTATTCGTCCTTTTATTATTCGAATTCTTCCCTTTAAGGATTACATTCCCTTGTTGTCACCGTTTTCAGAGTTAGATTTGAGTTTTCTCAATCATGTAGAGCAACGTCATCGATTACCACCTGTAAGAGATGCGGAAGAGGAATTTTTCTTTCTGCGCAGATATCTTTCTATGGATTCTTATCCTTCGGCTTGCGAATATATATTTGAAAGACTTTTACAACTTTCAAAAGATAATTATATGTCATTATTTTCCTATTCAGATTGGAAGTTGGATGAGAGTAGTTTGAGTCATTCTATGAATATTCCTAGTGATGCTGAGATTGTAGTTCATGTTGTTTCTTGTTTTATAGATGAAGTGATTCAACGTTGTAGTGGTGTTTCTCATTTCGTTTCTAAGGGTTCCTTTACGAGTCGCCATGTAGATGTATCTTTTCCTAGTCCTTTGATACGTAGCCATGGGAATGAAAGTCTATTATACAAGTTGGGTGGTTGGAAATATCGTTCTGGTGCTGTTATTTGTTTTTTACAAAGACGTCCTCCATTATTTGCTGTAGTTGGACAAGAAGGCAAATGTTTATCTATTCCTATGGTAAGAAAGAGATAAGAAATTGTTTTCATTGCTTATGAAGAAAACAAGGGAAGAACCAATGTTTTTGCTGCCATCATAGGATTGTTCAAACTTATCTATGAATATTTTGATGGACAACTTTTCCAAGTTTCTTTCGATAGTCCTTATTTAGGTATCATGGATTGGTTGAAGGAATCTTAATCAGTTGTGTTGTGAGAAAAGGGAAGAAGAATGCACAGAATCTTTGCTTTTATAGGTTCTTGGATAAAGTTAGATAAAGGAATAGGTCGTTTCTACACAAGTCAACGTACTAGTCGTAGTTTTTTTTCTGATTCACTTTATTTACAGTCGAATAGAATCACTTGCCAAGTTTCTCAAGAAAAGAATGGGGACCCTTCCTATGAAGAGTTTGCCAACCTGTTGAAACAAGGTGTGTTTCCTTGGGAAGAAAGTGATCACCAGAAAAAACGAGGTGATGATAATTGTTCAATTTGCAAAGGTGAATATTATATATATTGTGAAAACTGTCAAGGAGTGGGGTTTTTGTATATTCAGGATGAAAACTTGTGGAGAACTTGTGAACGTTGTATAGGACAAGGAAAGAACAGCTGTCCAGTATGTGAAACGAGAGAAGATAATAACGATGACTGGGAATAGTAAGAGTGGGATGGAATAATTTACTTGTGTAGAATGGCTCTTGAAAAGGGAGGCAAGTCTAATAAATAATGAGGGTCTTCCTTCTGTTTGATTAAGACAACGTTTTGTTCCGTTAGTAAATCAGTCATAGCAATATGCGTCATTTCGTCAATCTATACAAAGAGAATCAACTGTATCCCTATTCATCTTGTTTCTCACTTACTGAAAGATATTGCTTAAGTTGCCAATTAGGAATAGTCAAACACATCTGATTGTTGGAAAGATTGGCAACACATAACAACGGCTCATCATCGATGGCAACTCGAATCATGCTGAACAAACAAATATGACCGGAATCAACAGGATGTATCTTATCAAGATGAGTAATAAATACAAAAAATAGCCTTTTCACTTACCTGAGCAGTTGCTGAAAGGCTATTCCTTTGCCTTCTCAAATAATTCAATCGGCGTATCAACTCAATGGTTGGGATCTTCTCATTCATAGCTTCCTCAAACTTAGTCTTTGGAATAGGACCTCTTTGCAACTCTCGCGGATCAAAACATTTCTCTTCCGACATATGCAACTCAAATTTCTTGAATATTTCTTGTTGCCAATGCTGTGCAAAAGTTGCATGTGAAGGATTGTTTCCCCATCCAATCTCTAAGCCATAGTAGATTAAGGGAACTCCTGGACACATATAAAGAGTAAAAATAGCTGTTGCTAATCTCTCAACATGATGATTCAAACAATCGGCATATCTGCAACCAGCACTCGTTTGATTCTTATAAACTACACCTCCATGTTCTTCAATATAGGAAGCTATGAAAGGTCTCACCTATAACAATAAGTAAGCCATTTTCATTCTAAAAAGAGTTTCCTACTTGATCTGAGAAGAAACTAAGATAGGTTTCATCATGATGTTCTAACAAATTGAGCCATTCTGCATTGGAAGGTAATCGAGGCAACTGAAAAAATAGTTTCCAAAATGGAACAACAGTTTGTAAGTAATTCATTTCTCGCAATTGGGCCTAATAAGAAACATTCCATACAATGGATTCCTTATCTCAACTTGTTCTATTTCTTACCTGCATTTCAAAAGCCAATAACAAGTCACCTTCTGAACTACATGGTTGTCCCAAAAGTTGCATTTCTTTTCCAATAAACGATGCAGCAGATGAAGCACTTTTCACTACTTCTGGAATAATAACAACTCGAGATGAAAGATGCTTCAAATAAGTCTTCAAAAGAGAATGTAAAACATGAGTCTCCTTTAAAGAATCCCCACTTGTTCCTGGTTTCTTTATCCAATAAGGTATGGCATCCATTCTCTTTCCTAATATGCCTTGATTGACTTCTTCACCTAAAATATGAAATATTTCATCCAACACAGAAACATTTCGGAGATCTAAATCTACTTGAAAAGGATAAAAACTTCGATAAAATTGTACAACTGTGTCTTTGTTTTGGGTTACTAAAAGGCCATGTGTGCGATCCACATCCGGAAATATACAAACTCTCTCACTAATGGTCTTATCAGGATCCTCATAACGACAAATAATATCGCCATTTCGTTCCACTTCTCCAATCTTCTTTCTACCATTCCTTATCAAATAATAATCAAGATATCTCTTATCTCCTCTTCTAGCTCGTCGAAACCAACTGTGCTCAACTGAAGTATGATTCAATATTGCATCCGTAGCTACTCGAAAACCTTTCAAAATTGCCACTTTCATAAACCTTAAATAAGCTTCCTGACCACCCAGATTCTTTCTAGCTCGATAAGAACTATATCCACAATACTTTTATATACTCGTGCTTTGAATTCAAAAGACAACTATACCTCACATCGTAACCTCCATCTGCAAGAGGTGACTCATAATGTGGTAACAAATATAAATTACGAAACCCTAAACTTTCCAAATACGGTAACATTTCGATAAGATCATCAAAGGTACTTCGATTGTTGTCTTTTGTACCAAAATATTGAACATAAGTATAATACCAAGGTT